GGATCGAACCCAAGGCCTCGCRCGTGCTAGGTGAGTRCTCTACTGCTGAGCCACAGCTCCAGCCCCTGGAATACTCTTAAGGTAAATACACACCATACTCTCCTCCCCTCCCTTCTTACAATCATGATAACCTTGTGACCTAAAGACTGAGTGACCTTCTTAAGAGGAAAAAGACAACCAAGACATTCCAGGGTGGGCAAGGACACAGAGGAGGGTGGGTAAGCATACAGAGGAGGCTGGCACCCCGTGACCATGTGACTGCTACACCAGCCTTGCACTGCCTCCTTCACTATTCCCTTACATAAAAATTAAGTTTCCAGCTTTCAAAGTACTGTTTTTCAGGATTCTGTTGCTTTCCACTAGATGCAAATCCTTCATAGCCTAGGCTCAGTATGCCAACGGACAGGGTCAGAATGCCTAGACTACCTTGTTTGCCTCAGAGACTGGGGTACAGTTTGGCGCATGGAAAGTGCTCCTACTGTTTGTTGAATGAATGATGCAGAAAAGGTTGCAGAAAACTGCTGTCAGTATAACCTGCACGGGGACCATCATCCTCAGAAGCTTGGTGAGAAGACAATGAGCCCAGAGAGCAGTGCCATCTCCACCAACAGAGGGATAGGAAGTGCAGAAGGCAACCAGGGTGCAGAAGCCAGGTAGGAGGATGGCAAACCGGGAAGGAGATTCTTAAAAATTAATTGACTTTAGTTTTTTTTARACAATGGGATCGAATATTTTCAACTTCTAAATAAAGTATACCCAYAGGTAAGCGCAAAAATAAGTGGATAGTTATATAACAAATTTCCATGACCTAACGACACCCATGTGCCAGAGGGAGACCAAAACACACAACATCACCACATCTCCCAGTCAATAACCCCCGGCACAAGGACTTTCTTCAAGACTTTTCTTAACAGCTGCTCACAAAGAGCAGGGAAAGACACACGTTTTTATGCTTTTTAAGCAATGAAGTTTTCGAGRTTTACATTTAACTTTCAAAGCATCCTTACCCGTTTATACCTCACTTTGGCATCATAGAAGCGATTTTGGCGGAAAAGGTAATTGCCAAACTCCCTTTCAGTTGTTGCCACTTTGAGTACCTTCTGAAGAGGAAATTGGTCTTGCTGCTCCTGAGGATCAAAGAAAAGAATCCCCAGTAAGGAAGTCAAAAGCCACAATGCTACAATACAAGTGCACTGCAGCCGGGACCACGGAAACTGTGAACCCTGTTGAGTCCTCCATGTGTGCAGAAGTCATCCCAACAGAGGCTGCGAGAGGTTACTATCACCACTGGCCTATTTTCCAGGCTAGAGCCAGAGGGAAACCGCAGCAGCTGACCTCGAGACGCTCACTGAGGCAACAGCATCCACAGCCTTAAGAACTGACGGAGCTCACCCAGCATGGACTTGGGCTCACAGCAGCACCTGTCCAGCAAGCTTCACCAGCTCCTGGTTTGTTCAGAGCTCTGGTGGTCTTTGTGGTCATGATCCCAAGTGTCAGAATCACCCACAGAAGCCAGGTGTGGTGGCACCAGCCTATAATCCCAGAGATTTAGGAAGCTAAGGCAGGAGGTGAGCAAGTTCAAGGCCAGTCTTGACAACTGAGAAACACCCCATCTCGAAGTAAAAAATAAAAAGGGATAGGGATGTGGCTCAGTGGTAGAGCACCCCCCGAGTTCAATCCCCAGCGCATACGTGCGTGCGCACACAAACACACACACAAAATCACCTGCAAAGCCTCTTCTCCGCCCCCCCCCCCCAGAGATCCTAACATCACTACCTGAGGTGGGTCCCAGGCACCTCCAAAAACTTATACTCTGTGGAAGATGAGAAAAAGTGAAATTCTTACTTGGAGCTCTTGACAGTTTATGGAGATTCCGTATCATATGGAAACGCAAAACCTGGGAAGGACATCTAAGGGCATGTATGCAGTGTGCCACATGGTAAAGACAGTGCGTATGATTGCTGACAGGACCTAAGCCCAGCATCTACCAGAAGGGGTTAACAGRAGGCTACAGGATAAGGTCAAGACTTAAGTTACATTGGGCGCAGAGGTGCATGCCTATAATCCCAGCGGCTCAGGAGGCTGAGGCAGAAGGAGTTCAAAGCCAGCCTCGGGAAAAAAACAAGTCACTAAACAACTCAGTGAGACTCTGCTCTAAATAAAAAACAAAGTTGGGGATATGGCTCAATGGTCCACTGCCCCTTAGTTCAATCCCTGGTACTTAAAAAAAAAAAAAGATAAGTGACCACTCATCCCAGCTTACGCCTGATGTCCGATTATCTTGCCCAGTTACCAGTGCCTTTTTTCACTCTCCAGTGCCCTAAACAGGATCATAAATTATAGTCACCTTAGTTATAAGCTACCAATGCCTGACTCCCTGGAAAACAAACAGTGCTAAAAATCCGTTCCCTGTCTTTCTTTTATTTAGAGAGAGAATTTAAATATTTATTTTTCAGTTTTCATGGGACACAACATCTTTGTATGTGGTGCTGGGGATTGAACCCGGGCCGCACGCATGCCAGGCGAGTGTACTACTGCTTGAGCCACATCCCCAGCCCCTATTCCCTGTCTTTTAAGGAAATCCAGGCAAAGGGTGAATGAGTGATCAGCTCAACCTGCGAACCCATATCCATACCTTGGCCCCACACATTTATCTCAGAGGTGGCCCCACACATTTATCTCAGAGGGAGGAGACTAGGAGGTGAAGTCCTCTTCCACTATCACCATGCAGGAAGCCTGGGGGAATCTGGACTCCCAAAATCAAGGTCGGCGGGCTAGCTAGGAGGACCACCCAAACAAACTCATCCCTCCTTCCGGAAAGTGTTGGCACCTGTACTCAAGAACTTACAGCTGAAAGGGCACAAAACTTGTCTGACTCAGCTGAGTCCAGGAAATCAAGCAGCTCGATCTCGAACAGGACAGTAGTGTTGGGGGGAATCAGGGGAGGACAGCCCAGCGTTCCATAGGCATAGGTTGGTTTGAACAGAAACCTGGCCAGCTCCCCTCTCCGCATGCTCAGAAGACCCAGTTCCATACCCCAGAGGGTAATGTCTGAAAGAAGGGACAGAGAACTCACTTCAAGCTCACCCATCATCCTGTTCAATACCATCATCTCTTCCCCCTTCCAAGTCCATACCCCAAGCCTTCTGCATTGTGGTCCCAGCTGCCGGTCAGCCTTGCTTCCTGTGCCCCTCCCATTCCCAAACTCCAGCTTCTCCCCACTCAGCAGTATTCTGGCATCTATGTTTCCTTCTGGCTCCTTCTTCCTGCTGTGTCTGCCTCCTCACCCCATGTTCAGATTCTACCCCTAACTTACTCAAACTTAAGAGCTAATTTTGAATGCCCTCTTCCATGAATCCTTCTGTGATCCTCCCAGCTGAAACTACTCATGCCTTCATCAACCGCACCCACAACACTGCACATACCTTCCAGGCCCTCAGCCAGTTCGACCTAATTGTCTTAATGTAAATCAATCTCTGCCACATGGAAGTTCTTAATAGCAGTAATGGCCTCATTATCTGAGTACAAACTTTTATTTATTTTGGTACTTGTGGTGGCAAGCAAGCATCCATGGACCGTTTACTTAACAAATGAACAAGGATATGTACCCAATGGGTAAGTGGGGGTAGGTTAGGATTCGAAGATAATCTCGCCAGTTAGCCACCACCCAGAAAGCTGGGTCTTCAGGGGAAATGGGAAACAGAACATGGCTGGTTCACTAAAAGACAGCCTCAGAAAAACCAACTGTAAGAACCTGGGCTTTGGACAGTTTCCCATTCCTAAAACCTTGTGCGCCTTCTTTTCCTGCTCCCAGTCTGAACTTACCTTCTCCAAGTTTCATTAGTCGCGGAGTTTTCCTGAAACAATTAGAATCGAAAGGCTTGTCCATGTGCTCCAAATATCCAGAATATTTCACTAGGACAGAAGAGAGTGGTGAGGAAAACCCGCAAGGCACCCTCACCAGCATGACCCTGAGTGTGCAGAGTTACTCCACGGGAACACAGGACTGCGTGAGCTGGAGCTGCTCGAGACCCCGAGCCACAGGGGACTCTTGGCGTTGTGGACGCGGCTCTTGGGCCCCGAGGCTCAGAGTTCCACTCTTGCGCCTTGGCGCGCTCCGCGTTCAGGGTGGCATCACGCAGAGGGCACATGGCATCCTTCACGGTCCCCTTAGAGAGTGCACTCAAAAATTAATAAATTAAAAACAACAAAGAAACACGTGGCCTCCTTCTCCCCAAAGGAAATGCAGTCCGAGAACACAGGACAGCCCTGCCCCCGTACCTAGCACCGAGGCGTCAGGTGTCACCAGGTCCCCGGTGCCCTCTCGGATGACGTCCTTCAGCACGCCCCGGTCTCCGGTAATGTCCAGCATCCTCTGACTCAGGCGCTGGTAGGGCGACTGGGAGAGTGAGAGAGGCAGACCTCAGAGCCCCAGACCACCCTAGACCCTGATGCGGCGTCCTAGGCCCTACCTGGCCGGGGGCGTCGTCCCCTTCCAGGCCTCCCGGGTTCCGGGCGCTGCCCCCCATGTCCGCGCCGCCAGCCCTGCGCGCCGCGCGAGCCCTCAGCCCGCCCCAGGCTGCCCGCTGGCCGGGGCTCTGAGGTTCCGGAGGTTCCGAGGGCGGCCCACCGCGCCCTCGTACCCCGCAGGCCGCTCCCGACGGCGGCGTTCCGTTCCGGGGCCACGAGAAGTTGCTCATCGCCAGGGAACAACCGCCGCCAACGGCCTGCACGCGGCAGGAACCTCACGGGCCAACGGCGGAGCACGTGCAGGGGACGCGCGAGGGCCTGGAGGGAGGGTGACAGCCGCGCAAAGCACGACGGGCACACGATAAGGGCGCGCGCGGGGGCGTGGGGCACGTGATGGGCGCGCAGAGCACCTCGGGCGCACGATCAGGGCGCGCGGGGGCGTGGGGCACGTGAAGAGAGCGCGGAACACCACGGGGCACGTGACAGGGGCTCGCGAGGACTTGGCAGGAATGTGACAGCGCGCGCAGAGCATGGGGGGCGTGGTGGGCGGCACGGAGCTTGGCGAGGACACCTGGCGCGACTGGGCGCAGCCCAGAGGAGCAGGTTATGGGGACGCGGTGGGGCATGTGTCGGTCCGCAGGGAAGAACTCGGTGGACCACTTAGTGCAGGTGGGTGGCGGCGCACGTGGGGGAGCACAGGCAACAGGATRGAGGACGCGACTGGGAGCCTGGGTGGCGCACACGGCCAGGGCAGGCTGGGGAGGCCGCTCCAGAAATATGGCCTCATGTTCTGGAGAAATTCAGGCCCTGGCCAAGACTAAGGTAGTACCCCCGGTTCTTGGCAGGGGGTGAGGGGTGGTGATAATTTCTCATGCTGTCACAGAGTCCTCGAAATCTCTTTCGCGSCACAAAGGAGGATGGACCCTTGATCTGATCCCTCATTCCTTGGGTCCTTTCCCTCTTGCCTTCTTTATCCCAGGAGTTGGGGGAAACGTGAACAAAGCCTTTGTCCCCTTGTTCCCTCCTACTGCCCTTTGGGGAATAACTACTCCAAGAGTGGCTGTAAAGGTCTTTTCACTTACCATCTCATCCTCATCCTGCGGTTTCTTTTCAATCCTCTTTAATACCACTTTCACCGAGACCTGGCCAGCAAGGAAAACAAAAACAAAAAACATGCTCTTGTGGCCAGATGCATCAGACATCTCTTGGCTGAGTAGTTGAGTTTGGTCTCCTAGAGCTGAGATCCAGGTGTTAGGAAGATTGCATTATTTACTGGACACCCAGGGAAGAGTTCACCTCCAAGTTCCTTCACATAGTTGGCAGAATCCAGATCCCTGAGGTTCTGGATTTGAGGTCTGTCTCCTTGTTGAYTGTCAGCCAGGGGCCACCCTTAACTGCTAGAATCCTCCCTTCAGTCCCAGCATGTGTGTGGCTTTTTTTCAGAAGCAGCGACAGTGCAGCCACTTCTTACAATGGTTGGGCTCTTGCCTCTTTTTCTTCTGCATCTCTCTCTTGACTTCAGCCGTTCAAAGTTCTCTTCTGTTAAAGGCTGATGTRATTAGACTGGGCCCAGGTTATAGACCTGATTTACCTCTGCAGGGTGGTTCCTTTTGCCATAGAAGGTAACATTCACAGACTACAGGAATCAGAGCGTGGGTATCTTGGGGCCCTACTGCCTCCCACAGTTTCCCGGGCACCACACCTCTTTCTGCTTCACTGGCCCTGCTCAGTCTCTTCTTCTTCCTGACCTCTAACTATTAGCAACCTCAGGCCAGTCCTTGGACTCCTGGCCATCCCATTCTATTTTTTCAATCTCTGAGGGATTCCAACCATCCCCATGGATTTTTTTTTTTTTTTAGTGAGAGAGGGAGAGAGAAAGAGAATTTTTAATATTTATTTTTTTAGTTCTYGGCGGACACAACATCTTTGTTGGTATGTGGTGCTGAGGATCGAACCCGGGCCGCAGCATGCCAGGCGAGCGMGCTACCGCTTGAGCCACATCCCCAGCCCCCCCACAGATTTTAACATAGGAAGTTCCTAACCATATGTACCCAGCCAGRAGAGGGCCTCTTCCGAACTCCAGAGTTCCAGGATTCTGTTTCCAGTGGCCTGTTTCAGTGACAGAAGTGTGAGGTCAAAGTATGATCCCCACACTGGCAGCATCGGTGTTGCCAGGAAACTTTTTGGAAATGCACATTTTTCGTCCCATCCGGGTACTCCTGAAACACCCTCTGGGGGCGAGACCCAGCAATCTATTTAACAAGGCTGCATGTGATTCCGTTGTTGGCCGGCCATCTGCAGACCACTGAGCTACTCAGGCATCTGGCCCCAGATTTCCCCGTCTCCTCTTTTTTTTTTTTTTTTTCTTTTCTTTTCCTTTTTGTACTGGGGATTGAACCCAGGGGATGCTCTATCACCAAGCTACTCCCCAGCCCTTATTTTTGAAACGGGGTCTCATTAAGTTGCTGAGGCTTCAAACTTGTGATCCTCCTGCCTCAGCCACCCAATCACTAGACTTAGAAGTGTGCACCACCGTGCCCAGCTTGCTCTACATCCAGTGTTGTTATCAGCCATTGACATCACCATCCATCCACCAGGTGCTCAAGGCCCTGTGATCCAGTATCTTGTGTGGCAGCCACCATGCTGTTTTGAAAGTATAAATCACTACGAAAATAAACATCTTGGCCAGGCGCGGTGGCACACACTTGTAATCCCAGTGGCTCAGGATTGAGGCAGGAGGATCACCAATTCAAAGCCAATCTCAGCAATTTGGCAAGGCCTTTAGCAACTAAGTGAGACCCTGTCTCTTAGAAAAATAAAAAATAGGGCTGGGAATGTGACGCAGGGGTCAAGTGCCCCTGAGTTCAATCCCTGGCATTCACAAAACAAAACAAAACAAAACCAAAATCTATCCAGTAGTTCCCACTGCCCTTAATGTGAAATCCAAACCTTTGCCCTGACCCTTCCTGCTGACTCCTCTGACCTCATTTCCTGAGGTTCCTTCTGCCTTAGGCTTTTGCTACCCAGGTTCCCTCTATCATGTGTCTCACAAATACCAAGCTCTTTGTGGCCTCAGGGCCTTTGCACTTTCTAGCCCATTGCCTGGATTGCACTCCTGCAGCCTTTCAGGCGGCTGGCTTCTTTTTATCCTTCACCTTGTTGTGGGAGGCTGTGAACTTGAGCTGGGCGCCGGCTCTAGGCCATAGGACCAAACCAATGTTGAATGTTTAGTCATAGTAGCAAGTTTTGGTTGGTTGTAGGAGGGGCTGCAGCCAATTTTAACTAATAAAGCTGTRTACAGATTTAACTTGATAAGCTGTGACGAGGTGAGTAGCCCGTTGTTTTCTAAGTCTCACTTCTGTTATCCCACAAATGCTGTCAGGTGACATTGGTGGTTGGAGTTCCCAGAACCTGCTCTGAGAGAGGCTGGGTTCACAGATTGTTTTTGTTTTGGTTTGCTCTGGTGAATTCTACTAAGCTTAATTGGCCTAAGGAATTTTCCTTTCAACAAGCTCAACTGTCCCCTCTTCAAAGACACSGCCCTGCCTCTTTCTAAAATAGTCCTCCACACAAGCGCCTCTTCATTCCCTGTGTTCACCACTGTTTACTTCCTGCGTGGCATTGATGGTGTGTGTATGGCCTTCTAGCCCCCCGCCCTCTGGATGAGACACTCCAGAAGGTCTTGCTTTCTGCTAAGTCCTGAATTCCCGGATCAGCGTTTGATACATCACAGGTGCTCAACAAATATTTGTTGAGTTAAATACAATGAGCCTTCTCCTGCCTCTACCAGGCCTTGGTCTTGCTGGTCAGGGGGAGACCTCACCCCACTGGCAAACCTGGAGCTCAGACCTTGTTGAGACTGAGTCTGTTCTTCCTGTCTTTTCCAATTAACATTCCCCCATACCCACGTAATAATATGGTAACCATAATATTCATTAACTGCATCATAGAATATCAGTTTCTGCCGGTGTGGTGGCTCATGTCTGGAATCCCAGCCACTTGGGAGGCTGAGGCAGGAGGATCTCAAGTTCAAGACCAGCCTGGGCAACTTAGTGAGACCCTGTTGCAAAATAAAAAACTGGGATGTAGCTCAGTGATAGAATGTCCTTGGGCTCAATTCCCAGTAACAAAAAAATAAATAAATAAAAAATCACTGAKCTTCTAAAACCTTGGAAGACCTCATATTTTGTAGGTTCATAATTGAGCGATATTGAAAGAATCAGATGTAAAATACTACAATTCTGTGTGACTTGTCTATGAAATTCCGAAACGGGCCCCAAGAGGATACGTTCGAGTCAGGATGGCGCTATCCTTGTTCAGGTGCTGGCCGGGAGGAGACATAGGGAGCCCCTGGGTACTGGGAATGGTCGCCTTGATCTTCCGAGTAAATRTATGTGTGCGAGATGTACAGCAAACTGCTGGTTAGGATTTATAGATTTTATTAAATTACACCTCACTTTAAAAATCTAAGCAAATTAAAACACTTTCAAAAGGCTATGAAAGGGAGATTCAGAAAGCAGCCGGTCACAGCGTGTGTCTGGCCCTGTTTGGGGCTGGTGGGTGTGGAGGTGCGCCCTCCTCCACCTCCACTCCTCCCGGCTCCTGGCCAATGCAGTACCTGAAAGCTGAGGTTATCGGAGTGGCCGGCAGAGGCTGCCTCCCCAGTCTCGTGATGTGACCCAGTTTCCACCTGATTCTGAGTGACCTTGGAGACATTGGGACAACATTTCCCAGTGTTGCTGGGAAAGGGGAGGAGGGGAAGAGGGCAGGGGCAGAGACCAGGCAGGGGAGCAGGTATCCAGCCGTGCCCCCGGGTCTCTGGGGAGAAGAGAGCCGTGATCAGCCACTGCTGCTGGTGTGAGGTCCTCATGGGAAGCCCGGTGGCCGGTGAGAAAGCAGGTGGGCAGTGTTGGGCCCTCCGTGGTCTGCAGCACGCTGCTGCTTTTCCCCTCTGCTGGTCACTCTTCTTGGGGGGTGGATATGAGGTGGGGACAGAGCCCTTCTAGGTCCCCAGCTCTTAGGAGCAGTGCTGTTGTGAGACCAGGCGGTCTGCTCTCGAATTGTCTGAGGGCGCCCATTATACATGCAGCTTTCTGGGTCCCCCTGGAGACCCCTGAAACAGAATCCCTGGACCTGGGGCTTGGGAACCTCTAGTGTAACTCAGCTTTCTTACCAGCAAGTTCCAGAACTGACCCAAGGGGTGGGAGGGAGCTTAGTTTGCTTTGCCATCCGGTTCTAGTCCAGGTACATGGGACCCCGCAGGACGGCCCCTCCCGTGTTTACCCAAATCTCAGTGGAGACGAACCTGTCTCTCCAAGTGACCTTTTTGGTTCAAGCCCCTGTTTCACATGTGAAACGGGGAAACGRAGGCCTGAGTTGCTAGTGGGTCAGCCTGGGATGCAGGACTGGCGCCCCTCTAAGAGCCCAGCAGCCCGCAGGGTCAGTGGCACTGGGAGGCGGAGGGCGAGTGGAGCGTGGCTGCTGTGTTTCAGCCCGGGCAGCGTGCGTGGCGTGGCAGGTGAGTGTGCCGGAGCTGCAGGACCATCTCCAGTGTCCCATCTGCTTGGAGGTCTTCAAGGAGCCCCTGGTGCTGCAGTGCGGCCATTCCTACTGCCAGGGCTGCCTGCTGTCCCTCTCCCAGCACCTGGCCTCGGAGCTGCGCTGCCCCGTGTGCCGCCAGGCGGTAGATGGCAGCAGCTCCCCCCTCAACGTCTCCCTGGCTCGGGTCATCGAAGCCCTGCGGCTCCCAGGGAACCCGGAGCCCACCGTCTGCCCCCACCACCGAAACCCACTCAGCCTCTTCTGTGAGAAGGACCAGGAGCTCATCTGTGGCCTCTGTGGCCTGTTGGGCTCCCACCAGCACCACCGGGTCACGCCCGTCTCCACTGTCTACAGCCGCATGAAGGTGCGAGGGGAGGCTGCTGGGGTGGTGGGGAGCAGGGGACTGAGGAGCCCCGCTCCTGTGCTCGYTGGTGCCACCACCTGGCAAGGTCAGGACGTAGTCCCCTGCAGCTCTGCCCTGGGGATCGCAGCCCCCAGCTGCCACGTGCAGCCCATTTCTCCGCTTCTCCTCTGTGCCCTGGTTTGTTTCTAGAGTGTTCTGCTTGCATGCCCAGGTGCGTGCAGGCAGAGACCGTTTCCTCCCTGGTGTGTACCGTGCCTGGCATGTGACGGATGCTCATGGTGTGTTTATTGAATCTGAATTCCGGCCCTGGTGGACCCTCTCTCTGGATTTGCAGACCGTCTTTGAGATGAGTAATGACAGTAGCATCTTAGGTCACTATGTTGATCAGAGGCAGTTCCCTTTGCCCGGCCCCCCTCGCTSCTTAGAGGGATTCTCTTGTATTTAGGACTGAGAATCAGAGGAGGGGAGGGTGCTACCCAAGGTCACGCAGCTTGTAAACTGTGAGTCTAGAACCAAATCCAGGTCAGGTTTCCCCCAGGAACTGGGGCCCCACTCATGCTGGGCAAGCGCCCTGCCCCCAACCCTACTCCCAGCCCAGGCCTTCATTCCAGTGCTGGAGACCAAGAACGGGCAGGAAGGASGGTGCTTGGCACAGCGGCTGGCAGTGGATGGCAAGATGCGGGAGTGAGGGGGTGGGCAGAGGCATGAGGGCTGCCGGGGATCCAGGTTGGCTGCTTTGGGCAGTGTGTCTTTGCTCCTTCAACCCTGGGAGACGAATGGGAAACGTGTCCAGGACTGGCCAGGTGTCTGCCCGCCCCTCCTGTCCCCTCATATTGACTGGTCACAAGTCCACCTACTTGTGCTCGGAGCTGCGCTGGCCTCTGTCTGGGAGCCCATCGGGGTCTGCGGGGAGCTCTGAGGTCTCCTGGCCASGGCTTCCTGGAGGAGGTGCACTGCTGACCTGAGACCAGTACCACAAGGCCAGGCAGGGGAGGAGGGAGCATCCCAGGCACGAGGACGCATCCAGAGGGCCAGGAGGTGTATCCCAGGGCTCCCCAGAGGCCACAGAAGTCATTCCATAGAGCTGGAGGGGCGTGAGGGGGGGCGGGGGGGCGGGGGGGGGCCTGGAGAGCTGCCTGGAGTCTGTTCAGAGGCTGTCGTGGGTGGCCCTGGGGTTTGAAGCAGGGTGGTGACAAGGCCAGACACCTGCAGCTGGAGGGCAGATGGGAGTGTGAGGCTGAGGGACAGGAGGACGTGGGGGCAGCTGGTGGGGTGGGTGCGGCAGGAGGGCATCTGGGAGGRCCCTGAGGAGGTGACAGGAGTAGACGAGGCTGAGTGTGGCCTGGGGAGGAGGAGGTCAGCATTGGGAGTGGAGGGCCTCAGGTGAGATGGCCTGGGGTCCCTGYAGCCTGGGGGTGGGAATTGTTGAGGTCAACAGAGCAGGCGTGGGCGTGGGGAAGGAAATGGCTGGGCGGGGGTCCTCCCTGGCCAGGGTGGCCCAGCTCAGCTCCAGGTGTGGGTGTGGGATCTTCCACTCCCAAGACTCCTCCTGCAGCACAGGTGCAACCTGGTGGCGCCCACCGGACCCCTTCAGGTGTTCTGTTCCTCCTGCTTTTGATCCTTGCAGTTACTGATTTGCCTTGTGTCCTCCCCCTCTGGCCCAGTCTCTCTGCCTCAGGAGGGTGACCACAGGACTGCCTTCTCCAACCACCAAGAGCTCTGTGGACTTGTCATCCAGAGCAAGGACACTATCTGAGCACCACACACTTGCTTCATTCTTACTTGTGCTTGGGAATGATGGAAGCCAAAGGCCCTGTGTGGCCCCTGGGCACAGACCAGGATCCAGACAGTGGTGCAGGGGTCCTGGTTGGCACCACAGGGCTGAGCCAGTGCAGCCCAGAAGAGTGTGTGTTAGCCCCAAATCTAGGCTGGCCCAAGGCTGCTGGGATGATTCTGGAGCCCACAGGGTGTGGGAGTCCCCAGGTTCAACCTGGGCCACTCGAGCACCATTGGCCCTAGAGCTGGTCTCACTGGGGCCAGCCTCTTTGTGACAACTCTTGATCCAGGGCTACTTCTGGACATGCTGGTGACCAGGAACTTACTGGTAGTTCCCCAGCAGGCAGCGTTTAGTGCAAGGAGCGTTGGCTTCGGGTTGGCCCTCGATGCTCTCAGATGGGGTACAGTGACTTTGGGTAACTGTACTGTCTCAGAGAGAAGCTTCGGGTCACAGCGAGGAGTGCCCTTGGATCTTCTCCACCCGGGCAATTCCTGCTGCTGCTGCGGAGTGTTCTTGAATACTCTTACCTATTTAGGGGTCAAGGTACCTGGCTAGCCCTGGTCCTGGTGCCAAAACCTTGGCCTTGTCCCTGATGCCAATCCAATAATGAGGACATGGTTTTGAGGAAAAGGAAAAAGGCTTATTGCTTTGCTAGCAAAGGAGAAGCAAGGGGACTCCTGTCCCAAAGGCTGTGATTCTGCCCAGCACGGGAACAGGGGATTTCTTTTTTTTTAGAGAGAGAAATTTTTTTAATATTTATTTTTCAGTTTTCTGTGGACACAACATCTTTATTTTATTTTTATGTGGTGCTGAGGATTGAACCCAGCGCCCCGGCGCATGCCAGGCGAGCGCACCACCGCTTGAGCCATATCCCTAGCCCAACAGGGGATTTTTAAAGAGGTGATTCAAAGAAAATGAGATTAGGGAGGAGAGATCAGAGAGAAGATCAGGGAGAAGAAGGTCAGGGAGAAGTTTGGGAAAAAGAAAAAAAAAACATGTAAGTTAAAAAGTGACAAGGGATAGTCAAAGCATCCAGTGAGCCCCTGTTCCGGCCCCACTGGGAACTCTGGTGGTCACTGGTCCTCCCAGGAAGAGAGCCCCTGGGCGGGGTGAGGAACAGGGAGGGTGGTGGCCAGCTGCTCACAGGCCTGGGCTCCTTGTCTCCAGGAGGAGCTTGCCACCCTCCTCTCTGACCTGAAGCAAGAGCAGAAGAAGGTGGATGAACACACTGCCAAACTGGTGAACAACAGGACCCGCATCCTTGTGAGTGACCTCTCCCTTGCCCCGGCCTGGGACCAGGCTCCTCTTCTGCAGAGCCAGTCTTCTCTTTTTGTGTGTGTGTGTGTGTGTGTGTGTGTGTGTGTGTGTGTGCTGGGGATTGAACCCAGGGGGCTCTACCACTGATCTACATCCTTTTTTAAAAAATATTTTTTAGTTGTTAATGGACCTTTATTTTTTAAATTTATTTTTATGTGGTGCTGAGGATAGAACCCAGTGCCTCACACATGCTAGGCAAGCGCTTTACCACTGAGCCACAACCCCAGCCCCATACATCCCTTTTCTTGAGATAGGGTCTCACTAAGTTCAGTGGCTTAAGGCTTTGCCAAACTGCTGAGCCGGCCTCCAACCTGTAATCCTCCTGCCTCAGCCTCCTGAGTTGCTGGAATGACAGGCTTTTTTTTTTTTAACCCAGGGCCTCATGCATGCCAGGCAAGTGTTCTACCACTGAGCCACACCCCAGTGAGCCCAGTTCTAATTCTTTGTCCTTTACAGAAACCCATACCTGCCACACAAAGCCAAGTTCAAAGCATTCCAGGGTGGGGTGGGAAAAGTGCAAATCCTCCTGGAGGAATTCTGCCCAGTTGTCAGGCCTGGCTCCAAGTTGTCTTTCATCCTCTGTGCCCTTGGGGCTGAGATAACCCAGGGCTTGAGTCCCCTGAGATAAACTGCCCAAAGTTTGGCATGCCTCTCCTGTCCCCTGATRCTTGACCTTGACAGTCTGTCATTGTGCCCTCCCAGTAGCTGGGAGCAGAGGCCTGGAGAGGCCAGGAGCCTTGGCTCTGATTTACCTAAACTACGGGCCCTTGGGGCTGGGGGTGGAGCAGGGGCAGGAGGGCAATCTCCTGCCTCCTTACCCTTGAGAGGAGTGCCCTCGCTGGTGGGAGAACGCAGGTCCATTTTCTCATGTGGACCCCGTGGTGAAGTTGTGTGTACATGTAATGATTAAAACAGGCAGAAGTAGGCCAGGGTGACCTCAGTAGTGGGGCGCTGGCCTGATATGCGGGAGGCCCTTGGTTCTGCCCAGAACCCCAGGAACAGGTGGGAGTGGAGCCCTGTGTTTGAAATGGGAGCTGGGGGTCCCCTCAGCAGCTGCTCTCCCCATCAGCCACCTCTAGGGGTCCCGGGCACACCGTGAACTACCTGGCAGGGGTCAACCCACGTGGCCTCCAAGGCTGGCCCCAGTTGGGAAAGCCCAGGGTACTGAGCCAGCTAAGCCAGGCTGCTGAGCTGCGACTCCTCTCCCTGTCCCAGAATGAGTCGGATGTCTTCAGCTGGGTGATCCGCAGCGAGTTCCAGGAGCTGCACCACCTGGTGGACGAGGAGAAGGCCCGCTGCCTGGAGGGGGTAGAGGGCCACACACGAGGCCTGGTGGCCTCCCTCGACATGCAGCTGGAGCAGGTCCGGGGTGCGCGTGAGCGGCTGGCCCAGGCGGAGCGTGTGCTGGAGCAGCTGGGCAGCGAGAGCCACCATGAGTTCATCCGGGTGAGTGACAGGGAGTGTCCTGGGGCCTCCCCTCCGGACAGCCTGGCTTGGCTTCTGCATATCCAGCACCTGCCCCTCTTTGTCTTCCAGAAGTACCACTCCATGGCCTCCAGGTAACCAGGACAGCTGTGGGAGATGTCAGCCAGGGTGTGGTGGCTACGGGATGGGCGTCTCCTCTCCATTGGATCCCTTTCAGTATGACCAGTGTCCCTGTAGGCATCTGCCCACTCTGGCTCTGTCCAAGCCCAGGGGAACTGGGACAGCCCCGTCCTTGCCTTCAGGGATGTTGGAGATGGGAGGTGGACCAGCTCCCTCCAGCTGGGTTGTGGGGAGGAGGTACCCAGGGACTCCAGCTGCAGGCAGAGGCCCCTTGAGCGGGAACAGCCCTGGGGGAGAGTGAGGTGGCGTGTGGACTGTGGGTGCAGTGAGAAGTGCTGCTGAGCAGTAAAGTGCTGCAGGGGGACCAGGCAATGAGGTGGGGTGGGCCATGGCCTGACAGGGCCTTGACCATGAGAAGGGAGTGGATCCAGGTTCTTCATTCCCATTAAATGAACAGTTCCCACTGTCCTGACTCAATTTTGGGGATCTCCTTGTTTTCTCAAGTTTTTTTTCTGGGGGGGGGGTAACTGAGAATTGAACTCGGGCATCAACCACTGAGCCACAGCAGCTGCTCTATTTTCTATTTTATTTAGAGACAGGGTCTCACTGAGCTGCTTAGTGCCTCACTGTTGCTGARGCTGGCTTTGAACTTGGGATCCTCCTGCCTTAGCCTTCCGAGCTGCTGGGATCACAGGCGTGTGCCACTCAGCCTGGCTCAAGTTTCCTTAGTCTTAGGGACAGTGAGGCAAGGAGGCAGGGACTTAAATGAAAGACACAGTCTGCCTGGCTCAATTTGGAGTGGGAATCCACTCCAGCTCTTGTGGGTTTCTGGGTCACTTGGTAGACAGGAGGGGTTCTCAGCTATCAGCACACACCAGAACCACCTGGGGGGGGGGCGGCGGGCAGCAGAAYAGATCACGTGACCCCAGTGATCAGTTTCTGATTGGCAGGTCTGGGGCAGGGCCTAGGACCAGCATTTCCACTAGGTTCCCAGGTGATGCTTGTGGCTGGTCCCCAGCCCTGCACTCTGAGAACCCTCACTGTGGAGTGTTCCCCATTGTAGGAAGGAGGCAGGTCCAAGAGGGAATGGTGGGCACTGTGAGGGACTCGCCTGGGGGTTTCCCTCACTGGACGGAGGGTAGGCCCATCTTGTGACCTGTTGCTCACAGAGCAGAGCTCCAGCAGGCCCGGCCCCTGGAGGGCTCCTTCAGCCCCATCTCCTTCAAGCCAGGCCTCCACCAGGCCGACATCAAACTGACTGTGTGGAAAAGGCTCTTCCGGAAAGTTCTACCAGGTGAGGCCCTACCCTGTCCTCCCTCGGGACTTCCACCAGGGCTGGCACCAGCGCACTGATTGCAGCCGAGAGCACCTGCGCTCCAGAGAGCTGAAGGACGGTCTGGTGGGGCAGTGGTGAGCAGGAGCCCAGCTGGCCCGGACTCCGGGTTCAGGGCCCTCATCTGTGAAGAAGGGCTGCTGTCCCAACTTGGCTGGGCTGTGGAGTGGACGTGGAGGGTGGGGATGTTAAGGAGTGGTGGCTGTTTCTGACAAACAGCTCAGAGTCACTTAATRAATCCTTTTATAAGAGCAGGCTCTTGTGTAGGGACGCTCAGACCRATTTTATCCTTTCAAAGGCAAAGACAGGGCTTATGTAAAGGAGGGAAAAAAGCTTGCCGTGGACAGCGGGTGTGGTTGCACACTTCCGGGGAAATCTGATTAGCAGGTCATTAGCAAAAAGATGGGCTGGTGGGGGCTCCTCCTGGGGACCACTGAGGAGAAGGCCACCGCCTCCTGGTGCTTGCTCCAAGCCTTCCAGGCCCTTCCCACAGATCCTCTCCCTCACCAGACTCCCTGGCTCCCAGCGGCCTGTCAGGCGCATCAGCCCCCTCTGGGCGGGGATCACTGCACAGCCTGGGGCGGGCTCAGCTGCTGTCTGGGGAGCTCAGCACCTGTCTGGCCTTCCGTGTGGCTCAACCTCAGGCCTTCTCTGGTCTCCCTCCAGCCCCGGAGCCCCTCAAGCTGGACCCTGCCACCGCCCACCCGCTCCTGGAGCTCTCCAAGGGTAACACCGTGGTGCAGTGTGGGCTCCTGGCCCAGCGGCGCGCCAGCCAGCCTGAGCGCTTCGACTACAGCACCTGTGTCCTGGCTAGCCGGGGCTTCTCCTGTGGCCGCCACTACTGGGAGGTGGTGGTGGGAGGGAAGAGCGACTGGCGTCTGGGGGTCATCAAGGGCACAGCCAGCCGCAAGGGCAAGCTGATCAAGTCCCCCGAGCACGGTGTGTGGCTGATAGGCCTGAAGGAGGGCCGGCTGTACGAGGCCTTTGGCTGCCCGCGCGTGCCCCTGCCCGTGGCCGGCCAGCCCCACCGCGTCGGGGTCTACTTGCACTACGAGCAGGGGGAGCTCACCTTCTTCGACGCCGACCGCCCGGAGGACCTGCGGCCGCTCTACACCTTCCAGGCCGACTTCCAGGGCAAGCTCTATCCCATCCTGGACCTGCGCTGGCACGAGCGGGGCAGCAACTCCCTCCCCTTGGTGCTGCCCCCACCCAGTGGGCCTGGCCACCTCGCCCCGCAGCGGCCCCCCAAGACGCAGGGCCGCCCTGCTGCTCCCTGCCCACAGGCCCATCTCGCTGGGCCCTGAGACTGGGTTCCCGCGGTGACCCCCTCGCTTCCTGGAAGATCTTCACGCCTGCATGAAGGTAGAGGGGTCGTGGCCCCTTCCCTGTCATCCAGGGTTAGCAGGCCAGCCTGGGAGTCCCTGAGTCCCACTGAGCAGCTGTCCCTCCGGTACTCCTCCAGCAGAGGGCGGAAGCGCTTCATCATCTGCAGGAACTTAAAGTATCTATTAATGATAATAAATTCTTCTCTCTTTAAATGGGCTATATTGGTCGTGCGTATTGCCAAGTRCGCAAGTCTTTTTCTTTTTTGTGTGTTTTGTGGGTGCTGTACATTTAACCCAGGGTGATTTACCACTGAGCTACATCCTCAGCCCTTTTTATATTTTTAAGAGAGGGTCTCCCTAAGTTGTTGAAGATGTCCTCAGAACTTTCATTCCTCCTGTCTCAGCCTCTCTAGTTGCTGGAATCATGCTAAGCAGTTCACCTGCAGCCCTGCCTGGTTTGAGTCCACAGGATGTTCTATTCCTCAGCAAACAGTCTTTTATCTGCAGGAGAAATGCAGGTCCAAAATGCCAAAAAAAGGAACTTAAGTGACCCCAAAGTGGGGAGACTTTTGTGACAGACCAGATCCCAGAACTCGGGGAGATAAGGGTAATCTCCCCTTACCATAGTCTGTGAACAGGTTCCAATTAGAACTGGTCAGCATGGGCCCAAGAGACCTAGTTATCCAGGCACTTGAACAAGACCTAGTGGGCACTTGAACAAGACACGCCCCCTGATGTCTTTAGGCTGTCAAAAGTCGACAGGTGGGCCTGGTCATGATTCTGGAAACTTCCTGAGACCCCTGATAAACGAGGGCAGGTGGGGTGTATCATCTTTCTCTTTTGAGAATGTCCACCTTTCCCATCCACTCTAACAAACTTGTGCCTGTTACTCAAAGCTAAGTGGCTGAAATCTTTCTGGTAGGATCGCAAGAACTGGGATGAAGAGGGACCTCTGCTCTGTAACAACCTGAACCTGGAGGGTCCACATCCTAGCTCTGGGGTCATGGTGGGTCCCACTGGAGAGAATATCAGGTTCTCTGAGCCACAGCTACCTGGGGCTGCCAGGGCCTTCTCGGCCATTATGTGGAAAATGCCCGTTGAAAATGAAGCCTTAAGTACACATAGAGGAAAACAGGACAATTAACACAGACGTGTAAGCAAACACATTTGATCAGATTTTAATTTGAAAGCTTGTTGGTAACATTTGTGTCCCTAGATCTAGCCATGCCCGAAATAAATTACCCCCATCTCCGGGAATTCCTATTTGTATGAGCAAATAATCATCCTCCCCTTTTTGTTTGCTTTAATTGGCTACAGTTCTGTCCCTTGCAGCCAAAGCAGTCCTGACCAAAGGGGAGGTCCCATTGATACTGAGCAAGAGACCCTAGGCCTCATCCTTTGGGACGGCTGACAGGGAGCTGTGGCCTTTCTCTTCCACATGCAGCAGTAGGCAAGCACCTGCAGAAGCTGCCAACGAGCTTTGCTCCRTTCGACTTCCATGCCCTCCGCTGCCCACTCTTTTGCAGTAGGGGATTTGCAATTAGTTGTTTGATATCGGATCCGTTTGTGCTCTTTTACATTGTTATCATGTGCTTCCCCCCAGTCCTAGGGATGGACCCAGGGGTGCTGTACGACTGAGCTGCATCCTGAACTCTGTTTCAGACAGTTTCATTAAGTGGCTGAGGCTTTCCTGGAACTTGTGATCCTCCGTGTTAGGTCCTTAGGCCAAAGTAACTCCATTTCAAAATCAGCACCTGCCCACCCAGGCATGACCTTCCCAGTAGGTCCACCCCTAAAGAGTCCCTAACTCCTGGGATAAACCCAGGCTAAGATTGGGAGCCATCTCCTCACAAAGGCATGAAAAGTTAATTTTGGCTTTACTATAAATTACTGCGATTTCTAAACTTGCTTGGAATGCCTGCCCTGCCTTGAACTCACCCATGCCTGGCTTTCCCTGACAGATAACAGCCCTCTCTGAAACTCTAGTGGTGCCTCATAAATTCTGATGTTGGGATTAAATTTACTCCCTAAGTGCTGGACCATTAACCTACTACCTGCGTTTGTGTTATGCTTGTCAAAATCCTGTTATCTGTAAGTTCTCAAGACATCTCCCCCACTTTTTGCGACTTTCTGTGCTATAAAGTTGTGCTCCTAAAGAGCTGGGGTGCTGTCTTCTATTCCACGGTTTTCAGGAGAGAAAGCCTCGGAGGGTCGGAATTACAAGCTTGCTTTAATTTGATTTCAATTGGAGTTGGTGGTCTTTTCTTTGCAGCGTGGTTTAACACTGGGACCACAACAAAGACGCCAAGTGACAATCGCAGGACCTGGGGGTTATTTGCATCGTAGGTGACTGTGTAGTTAATTTTTCTCCCCCCAGCAGGCTGCTGCGCCTGGCAGAAAGGCAGCCTAGAGATATTGCCCATCAATCCACCTTTGCTTGAGCCGTGTCTGGAGGGAGTTCTGCRAGCGCTGCCTAGCACTCCGCGGCCTGAGCCCCAGGCACCCGGAGCCCAGGCGCACACCCCACACCCCGTGGGTAGGTCTTGACTGCAGCAAGGCACTGGTCTAGACGGCGGGGAGGCTGGGAAACAACCACCCCCGGGAGAAAAGGAGAGCAGCGGCCCCAGGGAACTTCCCCTTTCTTCAACTGTGCCCTATTGCCCTACAGGAGCCTGTCACAGCAACACCAGGCCCTGTTAACCCCACAAAACCCGGAGCCTTGATGTCGCAGTCGCTCCATTTTGCCTTAAAAACCTGCTCCTCCGTTGCTTGGGACCCTTTGGGGTCGGCCTGCATTTCTGTTCCCGGTCGCAGCCTCTCGGCTGGGTCGGTGTGAAGACAGAGATGCCCTGGGGTGAGCGGGGCGGCCCGACAGCAAACCGCGAGCGGTGACCAAGACAGCGGCCTGGGCACGGCCTGGCACARTAGGACCAGGCACGGGGGTGACGGGCCGGTGCCGTGGGAAGACCTCCGTAGTGAGCGGGGAGTTCCGGCGGGCTAMGGCCCCCGAGGACATCGGGCCGCAAGTCCCCTCCCATCCCTTTCGGTTTTCTTCCCCTCCCTCGGTGCAGCGGAGGGGCGCGCGCGACCGCCGGGCTAAGGCAGCGTGTGCTCTTTGACCCCGGAAGTGCTGGCGGCGGGCGCTAAGCCGGCAGCGCGTTGCGACAGAGCCGTAAAGGCGCGCGGGGGCGGCAGCATGGCGCTGTACGCGGCCGCCGCGGCCGTGCTGGCGGGCGTGGAGAACCGCCAGGGCTCCATTAAGGCGTTGGTGTACGGGAGCAGCTTCCAGGTAGCGGCGCCGGGCGCGGGGGAGGTGGGCGCCCTGTCCGGGGCCGGGGCGGGGGCGGGGGCCGGGACCGGGCGGCGGGGCGCGGCACTCCTTCGCCAGCCCAGCGCGCCCCGCCGCCCGCAGAACGTGAAGCCGCTGTACGCGCTGGTGTGCGAGACGCAGCGCTACGCCGCCGTGCTGGACGCCGTCATCGCCCGCGCSGGCCTCCTCCGCGCCGAGAAGAAGCTGCGGCCGCACCTGGCCCGGGTGAGCGGGGGCGGGTGCCGTCCCTGGGAGCCGAGGACGCAGGGCGCCGGGTCGTTTGCACGGGGGGCAGGGCAGCCGCGACCCCTGAGCCGCGCCTCCCGGGGTCCGGAAGGCAGGGCGCCGGTTCCAGCCCTCTGCCTGCCCCCAGGGTCTTGTGTAGTGAGGGACGAGGGAGTCGCCGTGACCTAAAGCGGGCTGGACGGCGGCCTCCTTTTAGCCTCCAGTCGTGTGAATTTCTGAGGCGAGTCGGGCTCAGTGCTGGGTCTTGGTCTTCCCTCCCCAGGTGCTAGTGTATGAGTTGTTGCTGGGAAAGGGCTTTCGAGGGGCTGGGGGCCGCTGGAAGCCCCTGCTGAGCCGGCACCAGGCGAGGCTGAAGGCCGAGCTGGCGAGGCTCAAGGTTCGCCAGGGCGTGAGCCGGAACGAGGACTTGCTGGAGGTGGGGTYGAGGCCCGGCCCAGGTGAGCTGGAGGCAAGGGGGCGCGGAGGGCAGTACTGGCAGGCCGCCGAAGAGRGGCCTGTATTCCTGCTCGCTCACCGCTGTTGCTCTCTAGTCTCCCAGGTGCCTCGATTTGTGAGAGTGAACACGCTCAAGACCTGCTGTGGTGACGCCATTGATTATTTCAAGAGACAGGGTTTCTCCTACCAGGGCCAGGCTTCCAGGTGAGAGCTCAGCGTCCTGTCTGGCTGCCCTCATCCAGGGGCAGTGTCTGGGGCCACAGAGAAGCAGGAGTCTGGGAAGAGAGGTGCTGGGTGGCAGTGACTACTCTTATTGGGTTTTCCTATTTCTAGCAGTTTCCCCTGTATCTTTTCAAGGGCTGATGGCCAGCCCCATCCCACTGATGCTCCCAGGACTTTTGTTCTACCTTTTTTCCCCCACACGCTGGGGATGGAACCCAGGCCTCAGACATGCTAGGCGGGTGCTCTTCCACTGAGCTGCATCCCCAGCACTTAATAGCATTTAAAATATTGGTTGTGATAAACAGTGCAAGTGGAGCCTGGGGAGGAATTCAGGAGATGAGTTAATGATTCACATTCCYCGCAGCCTCGAGGACTTGAGGGCCCTTAAGGGGAAGCACTTTCTTCTGGACCCCTTGTTGCCGCAGCTACTTGTGTTTCCTGCCCAAACAGATCTGCATGAACACCCTCTGTACCTTGCAGGTCACCTCATCTTGCAGGACAAGGTAGGGAGTGGGTGAGGGAAGGATGTGGGAGGCCAGCCCCAGCTCCTATTCACCCAGCTGTTGTGCTCGCTGTCAGGCCAGCTGCCTCCCAGCCACGCTACTGGCACCGCCACCAGGTTCTCATGTCATTGACGCATGTGCTGCCCCAGGCAACAAGACCAGTCATTTGGCAGCTCTTCTCAAGAACCAGGGGTGAGTGCCAAGGTCAGATGGGGTCTGGTCTGATCCTGTACTTTGTAGGAATAAAGAAATTTTTATTCAAATGGCTGCGCTGGTGTTGTGGATCAGTGGTGGTGTGCTYGCCTAGCAAGCATGAGGCCCTGGATTCGATCCTCAACACCACATAAAAACAAAGGTATTGTGTCCACCTACAACTAAAAAATAAATAAAAAAACTATATTGAAGGCTGAGAGGACAGACTTGAGGCGGTTCATGGTTTCCCCAGGCAAAGCTTTCCAGGGGTTGCAGGTGTGAGATAAGGTTCCTAAGCCTGTTATCTCAGAGACCCCCTAAGACACTTAGATATTCTTGTTTCTGTGTCCTGACTTGACGTGCGTGGTGCTGCTGGGTGTGTCAGAGCTGTGGCTCTCCCTCAGATGCTCCATGAATTCCCAGATCACCCCCTTCTGCCCTCTTCCCTAGAAAGATCTTTGCCTTTGACCTGGATGCCAAGCGGCTGGCATCAATGGCCACTCTGCTGGCCCGGGCTGGTGTCTCATGCTGTGAGTTAGCTGAGGTCGACTTCCTGACTGTTTCACCCACGGACCAGCGTTATGATCGCGTCCAGTACATCCTGCTGGATCCTTCTTGTAGTGGCTCTGGTGAGATGGGGAGAGTGTGGCTGTGGGATACCCCACCCCAGAGCTGAAGCACACCAGTTTAGTTGGGTCTTGGTTCTGACTCAATAATGACCTTAGGCCTGCAGACAAAATGTTCTCATTTATCAAGTAGGATCTCAGCACAGGATGCAGCAGCCTGGGAAACTGATCAAAACGCTCTTCTCCCCAGGGATGCTGAGCAGGCCACTGGAGGAGCAGGGGTCAGGCACACCTAGCCAGGAGCGTTTGCGTGCCCTGGCGGGCTTCCAGCAGCGGGCACTGTGCCATGCGCTCTCATTCCCCTCCCTGCGACGCTTGGTCTACTCAACATGCTCCCTTTGCCAGGAAGAGAATGAAGATGTGGTCCGAGACGCCCTGCAGCAGAACCCAGGGTTCAGGTGATGGCCTCCCCAGGGCATGGAAGGGTTGCCGAGTGGCCCCTRGAGCCTGATCCCTCCCCTCCTTCCTTGCAGGCTAGCTCCTGTCCTGCCCTCCTGGCCCCACCGGGGTCTCAGCACCTTCCCAGGTGCTGAGCACTGCCTCCGAGCCTCCCCTGAGACCACGCTTACTGGTGGCTTCTTCATTGCTGTGTTTGAGCGGGCAGAGGTGCCAAGGTGAGGGAGCCAGGGGTGGCCTGCTTGGGAGGTATGGGGTGACTCGGACACAACTACCTGACCCGTCCTAACCTTCCAGCTCAGCCTCCCAGGCAGAAGCTCTGGCACCAGAACTTGCACCCGGCCCAGCCCCAAAGAGAAAGAGGAGACGGCGAAAGGCCGATGTGCAGGCTGCAGGTGCAGCTGCTGAGGCCACCTGTGGGAAGTGAGGCTGCCCAGGCCGCCTGTAGGCTCCACAGGACTGCTGTTACTGAGTGGAGGGTCCTAGTTAGTCCCTTGGGTCCCTCCCTGGGGGCTGCCTGCATAAATAAAAGGCAGAACACAGGCATCTGATAGGTCACAGTTTTTTATTCGTAATGACATAAGCAAGGAGAAAAGTCTCACATTCATACTAAAAAGTCCAACTAGACAACAGGAATTACACCTTTATTTGTAATGGAAAGTCCAGCCTCCTGTTCTGTCCAGTGCAGAACATGTACGCACTCACACCCAGGCTAGAGCAGGCCCCCCCTCTGGGTTCCTGGCCTGCTATGGAGCAGAGGTGAACTAGCTCAGACTAAAACTAAGAGGCTCCGCCCCACACCAGGTGCAGGCAGAGGCTCCATCCCTAGACCTGTGCCCCACCCCCACCCCTCCAGTCCTAACAGGTATTTGGGACTTGAGGTCCTGGCTCCTTCCTCAGCCCCCCACACAGCTAGGCCAGCAAGTGCCCAGCTCCCCTTGAGGTGGAGGCAGTCCCCTGCCACAAGACATTCAGCCTCAGTCACAAAGGGGGAGGGGACTAACTACAGCTACATCACATTATTTATAAAATAAGAATTACACTTATAACATGTCTAGGAGGCGCTCCAGTCCCTCAGGAAAGCTGCCTGGGACAGCATTTGAGCCCCTCCTTCACACAGGCATAACCTAACTATGCAGCTAATTCTAATCAACAGCATTTATACTTAACCACCTCAATGAACCAAGCTTGAAGGAATTTAAAAGGCAATTTAGCTTAAATACAAAAATAAATTTTTATTTTGTTAAAAAATGTTTAAATATTTTCTTTTAATTTAGACACACGCATTCATACTTCTTCCAAAGAGGATGGGCGTGGCAGCAAGGCTCTAGGGCCTGGGGAGTGTGGTTTGGGAGCCAGGGGAGAAGGGGAGGGAAGGGTTGGCAGGGGTCCTGTTTAGGAAAGAACTAGGGTCTGACTTCAAGGAAGGTTCATTGGTGTACACTGGACATACTGGGAGTGGCCTTGCCTAGTGAGGTCAGGAGGTGGGAGAGGAATGTTGGAAGGAGAGGGTCTTTGTTTCCCTAAGGCCCCATCCCCTGGGCTGCCAGCCCTTAAAAGTCTAACCACCACTGGAAAACTCAGGAGCCAGCACTGTGGCTCTCAAGTGGTGCCACTTTGATTGGCCAGGCCAGGAGGCTTGAGACAGTTAGGTCCGGCACTACCAACATGCCGCCACACATACAATTCAATTCTTCCTCCAAACTCGATTCAAAGAGCSACAGACATGGGCTTCAGACAGTGACACAGGACAAGGCGTGGGGTGGACAATCCCGGAGGCAGAGGGTGGCCAGTGAGGCCAGCAGGGGGAGGAGGCAGCAGAAAGCAGCTGTGGGCATCCTGCCTGCTCCGAGAGCTTCTCCTGCAGCAAGGGTCTTACGCTGGCTCTGCCAGACTTAACAGTCTTGAGCCACCAAGCTTTTAGGGGCCAAACTGGCAGAGGGCAGGAGACTGGATTCAGACCTGGCAGGGAGAAAGGGGGCAGTGGGAGCAACACCCACTGGGGTCTCCAAGGCAAAGCTAGATTCAAGGTCATTTAAAAAGGAATCCTGCAGGGAACCAGTGAGGGACAAAGCAGCAAGTAATGGGGAAATAAAGAGTCCCCGAAAGGGACCAGAGGAAGAGGACCACTTCTTATAGCCTAGCCAAGCAGGTAAAGCTTAGGGATAATCCATTTTCCCCAATCCCATGAAATGCAACAGAGATTCAAGTGGATGCATCGCACACCCTCTGGCAAGGATGGTCCTGGGGGCGGGGGAGGTGGGAAGGGAGGCCACCTGACTTAAGTGACACAATAGACGAGCCAGGGAAGAGAGCGGACAGTATGTACAGATGTTTCTTTAGTTCTCCAGCCTCACCAGTGCAACTGTTCAAGTACAGGTTTCAGGCTTTAGCCCTGCCCTCGCCTGCCCCCTCCCTGAGGTGCCCACTCCCTCCAAAAGGGAAAGGGCCCCAGGGCTGCCACCACCTCCCTTGGTGGCTGAAGCCAGAGATCTAGGATAGTTCTGTTTTACGGAACTTGAAGGGTCAGAGGCTCTTTCTAGCAGGTGCTGAGGTCCAGATTTGGGCAAGGGCTGGGAATGGGGACAGGACAGAGGCTACTTCTTGCGGTTGTGCTGCCTTCGGGCCTGCAGTCGCTGTCGAGCCCCTGGGGTCTTGGATCCCGCACCAATGGAAAACGAAGGGGCTGCTGATCCTGGAAAGATTTGACAAGACCTTATTAGGTAKCTGCTCCCTGAGCACATGGTTTTGAGGCATCAGCTCTAAGTCAACAAAACAGTGGGGACTTGAACAGGGTCCCCAGATGCCATGGCAGCCCCATGAAGACGCTATTAAAATGCAAAACCTCCAAAAGTCCCATAGGGAGGCCCACAAATCCATTTTTACTTGACTTCCCCAAGTGTCCTGGGACTGTCTTCTCAACTCTGCTGTCCAATTCCCGCTGGGTGGTGCTGGACCCCCAGGAGCTGTCTCCACAGGGGCCTGGAGAGCCAGGAACCGTACACCCCAATTCCTCCTTACAGAGGAGAAAAGCAGATGACACTGGCAGTGGAGAGATGGCTACTTACCGAAAGGCCCAACTCCAACAAAGCCCTGGGTGGGTGTTGAGGAAGCCCCAAAGGAGAGGCTGCTGCCCACTGTGCCCACTCCAGCAGTCGGGGTGCTCTGCCCAAAGGTGGGTGTGGAGGTGCCTAGAACAGACAGCAGAAGACTGTAGAGACTGAGCCAGGGTCAGAGGAAAGAAAACAGACGGCAGAGAAACTAGGCAGAGGGTCTGCTCTTTGCAGGGTGCTTCCCACAGGACCTGCCAGCCCTGGTTCACACCACCATAGCCAACTGCAGCGGTCACACCTGGAGCTCAGGTGAGCCAGCAGGCCCTCAGTGCCCCACTTTCTGTGCACACAGCCCAGGCATGCCATGCCTCTTCTGTTCTGCCAACCTGCCCTCTGACAGCCTGACTCACCTCACTCCAGCACACCACCCTGTTGGACCATCTGATCTTCCCAGGTGCTCTGGAACTCCCTCTGCAGGGCCCTGCCCACTCTTCCTCTCCCTGCCACAAAGAAAGCTGCCTCTCTGGTACGGTGTCAGGCTGGAGGGGGGCAGGACCTTCCCTGCTCCCCAGAAGCTGTGTCCAGACCACTTCTCTTCCCTGCTCCTTCAATATCATCAGTCTTGCTCCTGAACATCTATCAACTGCCAGATGTCCTCTTTTATTCAGCGGGCCCTTGGCTCACTGTTGCCCTCTCCATCACAAACCATGGTGACTTTGCCAGCTCTCAGATGATTCAGGATTCCTCAGAAACCCAATGACCTCCACCCACCCACCCCTACATTCACTTGTCAACTGCTCCAGCTCACGGTCCCCACAACCACCTTGCACCTTCTCCTGCCAGARACCTGAAGTCCACTGCCCTCCTGCTGCATTCCCCCACAGGCTGGAGATTAGCAGCTACCTGCCTTTTTTAACCTCAACAGCCGGGAGCTGCTGGAAAAGACACAGTGCTGACTTGAAGTTCAGGCTTCTCTTCTACAGCACTGGCCTGAACTCATGCCTCATGCATGCTGGGCAGTGCTCTCTCCCACTGAGCCACATCCCAGCCCTTTTTGTATCCGCGAAGGCCAGACTCCAATCTCTGACCCTCCTGCCTAGTCACTAGGATTACAGATGACCACCATGCCTGGTATTTCTCTATTTAATCAAGGACACAGAAGCTCTGAGGACAAAAATTCACCTTCCGGATGGCAAATAAGACCACTTCATTCTGCTGCAAATTCTACAATTTCCTTGATACTTAAAATCCGATCACTGGAGCCCGAGGCTCACCTCTGCCTGTCTCAGAACCTCTCTCACACCATCTTMCATCTGTAGCCAAGCTTGCCTCCCTCTGCCCCCAGGGCCCTAGCACCAGCCAGGCTCACGAGCTCCCCACCCACATGCCAGTCCTTCTGTCACAGACATCCCTCAGAAGAAATGGACTGCTCAGAAAGGCTTTCCATGACCCCTGAAAGGCACTAGCGAACACTTACTACCACCTGCAATTTACTGGTCTTTACCAACAAGTTCCTTTACCCAGCATCAGGCCTAGCAGACCACACCCACTCCTGATCTTACCTCCAAACACAGGTTTGCTCTCAGGTGTGCCAGCCACATTGAAGGCAAAGGGTGTGCTCTGGCTGGGTGTACCCAGGGCATTCTGACTCAAGCCCCCACCAAAGGGGGTGGCGGTTCCTGTGGTCCCACTCTGTCCAGCTCCAAAACTGAAGGCCCCAGAGGTGGAGCTGGGGCCTGGGGCAGCCACACTGAGCCCGAAGCCCCCACTGGCAGCTGGGGCTGCAGATCCCCCGAACGTGAAAGGGGACGGAGTTGAGCTGCCAAACACTGAGCCACTGGTCCCACTGGGGGTGGTCTGGGTGGTAGCTCCAAAGCCAGAGGTGGTGGCTGCACCGAAGGAGAAAACAGGCGTCGTGCCTCCAAAGGCTGGCTGTGTGCTGGTAGGGGCGCCGAAGGCCGAGGCRGTGGTCTTCAAGCCAAAAGCTGACTGTGTTGAGCTGCCAAAGGCAGGCTGRGCCGTCGCTGGTGCTGCAGACGGGGCAGGGGCTGCAGAGTTCCCAAAAGTGAACGAGCTGCCAAAGCTTGGAGCAAGGGCTGGCTTGGAGGACCCCTGCTGCTGCCCATCAGCAGCCCCAAATGTGGGCTGGGGGGTGGCCACTGGATATGCTGGGAGGGAGGGCTTGGCACCAGAGCCAAAGGGAATGCTGAACGCGGGGGTGGTGGTGTTGCTGAAAGTCAGGGTGGGCTGGCTGCTGGTGGTGCAGGCTGAAGTGGCAAGGGAACTGCCAAAGCCACTGAAGCCAGCAGTGCTGTTGCTGCTGCTGCTACTGGTGGTGGCCGCCTCAACAGCACCGGGCAAGGACTGGCCAAAGGTGGTGGCTGCTGTGGATGTTGGTGTGGCAGTGGATTTGCCAAACTGGAATACAGAGCCCACGGCGGGGGTGAAGCCGGCGGCAGAGGCAGGGGGTGCTCCAAAGGGGAAGGGCTGAGAGGCGGGGGTCGCGCTGCCAGTCGTGCTGCCACCAGCGCTGGCCACGCTGCTGACCCCAAAGCAAAAAGCAGGTTTGGAAGCAGAGTCTGTGGATGTGCTGGCAGTGGTGGCTGGAGCCACGGCTGAGGTGGCAGTGGCCAGGCCAGCAAAGAGAGGGGCAGCTGGGGCTGCAGCAGCTGTTGTTGGCTTGAAGGAAAAGGGAGCAGGCAAGGGCACAGATGCAGGTGGCCCCAGGTCACCAAAGATGGGCTTAAAAGTTGGGGTGGCAGTACTGGTGGTCATGGGCTGGGTGGAACTAGAAACAGCTGCAGCTGTGACGGATGTGACAGAGGGGCCTTCGCTCTCGCTTTTAGGTGGTGTCATGAAAATGGGCTTGAACATGGGAGAAGCAGAAGACGTGGCTAGGGTGGCTAGGGCAGCTGGGGTGGCCGGAGAAGCTGGGGCGGCAGGTGCGGCCGGGGCGGCAGGTGTGGCCGGGGCAGTCGGAGCGGCCGGAGCAGCTGGGGAAGGGGCAGAGGGCATGCTGCTCAACATGCCGAACAGCCCACTCTGCTTGGAGGTGGGGGAGGGGGTAGGCGGGCCTGGGGCTTTGGCAGATGTGTCGGTCTGGAGGGCTGGAGGTGACTTGGTGTCCAYGACAGGTGCTGTGGAGGAGGCAGGGACCAGCCCCAAGAAAGTGGCTGTGGATTTTGAGTCTGAAGAGGTGCCTGGCAGGGGCCCTGGTGGTGGAGAGCCAAKGGAGGTCAGCAGGCTGGGTGTCTTCAGAGGTGACGGGCCTGTGGTGGTGGCCACTTCAGCAGATTCTGGGAAGAAAGTAAGAAACCCGAGTTCTCTAGTAGGACAGAACCAGCATGTCTGCGCCTCTGGTGCCTCCCTTGGTCAGCTGAGAGGTGTGACAAGTCTACGCTGCACAGCCTATGAAGCTCACTCAGAGATTCTCCTGTTTCCATCCCCCAGACCACAAGACAGACAGAAGGGAATAACCCAAGACCTAACTCAAGGTTATACGTGGAGGCGCCATGTCACCAGAGCACTGACCTAGATAGGTCTTGTCTGTCTAATGGAGATGCACCACGCTCACCCATCAGCTGCAAGGAGCAGACTCTCTGCCCCTGGCCCTGGGAGGCTGCACACTACACCTGGACTACTGTCTGAGGAAGTGCAGTAAGAGGTTGCACAACCTGAAGGCCTGGGCCTGTGACATTCAACTGACCCTGGAAACCCACGTGGAGGAACTTATCTTATTTGGGGCTGTTGTCTAGTAAGCCACACTGCAGATACCTCGCAGGGTGGTCCTCTCATTTACAGATGATGACAGCAAGGCTCAAAGCAGTCCCAAGACTGGGCTTTGAGTGGAGCCCGACCCATGCTGCCTTCCYAGTTTTACTCGAGGCAGCAGCAACTTTAGACTGACAGAGAAGCATGAGGCTGGGCTTCATCCCGAGGGCCAACACTGCACGGTGCTTACCTGGGAGGGATGGGTCTGGGGGACTCTGCATCTTCTTCAGGCTTTCTAACAATGGGTTGGTGCCCGTGGCTGGCGGGGAGGCTGCTGCAGAAGGGGTCCCCACAGCAGGCGGGGTGAAAGTGAAAGAAGGCTGAGTGGCGGGTGGGTTCTCACTGATGGAGTTTGGAGGAACATCTGAGGGAGAGAGACAAGATTCAACCTTTGCCCCTTGCTGAAGAATTCTTTCAAGATGGCACAGGGAAGCTCCAGGGCTAGCAGCCTGATCTAGAAATTGTTCCCCTCAATAGTGCTCACTGAGGGCTGGGGACTCAGTGGTAGAACACTYGTCTACCATGTGTGAGGGAGGCACTAGGTTCGATTCTCCACACCATGTATAAATAAATGAATGACATCTAAAAAATATAAAAACAAAGCAGCAAAAAACAAAACAAAACAAAAAAAAAAACCAGCGCTCACGGTACTCCAGGATTTAAYGAAAAGGTAGGTGGCTGGGGGTGGTGGCGCCTGCCTGTAATCCCAAGTGGCCCAGGAGACTAAGGCAGGAGGATGGAGAGTTCAAAGCCAGATTCAGAAATTTAGCAAGGCCCTAATCAATTCTGTGAGACCTTGTTCCTAAATAAAATACAAGAAAGGTGGCTGGGGATGTGGCTAAGTGGCTAAGCGTCCCTGAGTTCAAAGTGCCTCTGGGTTTAATCCCCCTACCAAACAAAAACAAAATACCTAGCTGGACTTCTCAGAAGAACAACAAAGGAAAACAAGAAACTCTTTCTTAGGAAACCCTTTAGAAGAACAATAAAACCAAAACCAAAGGAAACGAACACATGGGGCCTTTGGATGTGCCACTGATGTGTACCCCTTACCAGTCTTGTCCTCCAAGACCTTGTTGAACCACTGGAGTGAAGCTTTCTTCTCCAGGTCAAGGTCCTCAGCAGTGACGGAATAACCAAGCTGAGGCGGTGGAGGCTGTCAAAGAGGAATGGAGAGGCTGGGCCATCGTACAGCGGCAGAAGCTCACTTGCACCAGCCCTCCCAAGATGCAAGAGGGCCAACGTGGGTGACTAGACATACCAAGGTCAGTTGGTCCCCTCGCCTGGAGGGCAGCAGCGGGATCTTCCGTTTCCGCTGTCCAGAGCTGCCAGGTGTAGATGGGGAAGCCCACGAGTTCGGCTGATTCCGAGAGGTTGTGTCTGCAACTTAAGATAGGAAGAGGGCCTGCTGGCTTACTTCCCTCTCCCAGCAGGGCAGAGTGCTTTTCTATCCACTTGGCTTTTAACACTGAGTTGTCACTGTGTGTCTAAAAAGATGCTATCTTCCATGGCTGGGGCCCCCAGATGGTATCTGTAAGATTATTTCTAATAGTTGAGGGGAAATAGTTAATTGCTCCAAATGTAGCATCCAATGCTTACTGGGTATACTGGGTACAGCTCTCTACCCAGGACCGTGTCACATGGGACTTGTCTGTACGACCCTCTCCTTTAACTGTGAAGCCAGGCTGCCCTAGCTAGACAGGGCAAAGCTCTGCCAGGTGTTCTCAGCAGTACTCCTTCAGCCATCCCTCCACCCACMGCTCCTGCTTGCTCATCCACTCACCCTTTTCTCCCTGGGACTCCTTGTCGGCCACCAGTGGAGTCGAGGAACTGGAATGCTGACATGGCTCGTCTTCTCTGTGGGGTTTTGAAAGGTGGAATTCAGTTTGATAATGTTCTACACCCTTCTAACTGCCAAGGAGCCTAGGCCACATCATTCTTAACCATGCTTAAGATCTCAGTATGTCGACATAAAAAAAGGTCAAAGGAGAATTCCTATAGAAACGAAGATCCCAGAGAAGCCTGTCTTAAACCAACCACAACCCCACGCAGTCTGCCGAGCCTAGATCTCCAAGGAGCAGAGCTTCAGTTGGCTGCATACCCAGAACCCTCTCGGCACTTCTGTTGAGTGGCTGCTAGAGCAAGAGGCAGAGCAGGGCCTGTGCAGCCAGTGTTCGAGGCTGCAGGAGGAGGGCCATGCTGGTAGGTGCCCGCATCACTGCCCTTCTCTGAGTCTTATGCTCTTGATCCACTGAGTCCGAGTCATGCAATGCCCGAGAGCCAGCTCCAACCCCTCCCTCCTCACCCCTGCCTGTCCACACAGAGCAAACGGTCACTGGAGGAGGTAATAATCACCTGGTTTTCTTGGCTGGCCTCTCCGGAGTCTGAGAGCGGGAGGAAGCTGGGCTAGAGAAGGGGGACGCAGGGGGACCACTCCTCTTCCACAGCTGAAATCAATCAGAGTTACACAGCTGAGCCCAGGGACAGCTGAGCACACAACCCTAGAGAGAGATACTCTTGTGGTTGTGTTCATCACTGCATGTAAAGTCCCTTTTTAAGGAACTAAAAAATATTTCTTTGTGAAGACCCCTGAAAAGAAAGTCAATTGTCAGTTATGGTATTGTGGCAATTACAATTATGGAAGCAAAAAAGGAAAGAAAAGCCTAAACACAGAAGGAATGAATGCACCTTTTGCATATAAGAAGTAGAACTGAGGGGCTGGGATGTGGCTCAGCGGTAGAGCGCTCGCCTAGCAYGTGCAAAGCCCTGGGTTCGATCCTCAGCACCACATAAAAATAAATAAAATAAAGGTATTGTGTCCAACTACAACTAAAAAATAAATATTAAAAAAATACTTAAAAAGYAGTAGTAAGATTGATGATATTCAGTAACAACACAGAGCTATATGCACAAGTCTACTCCAGACTATCTATGSAGGAGACAAAAGTAAATTTAAACATACTTTTAGGAAGATAAGCCAGTAAACTAAATCTTGTTTTCATTAAGTTTAGTTTTAAACTTTTTTGTGATAAGGGAGATTGGGAACCCAGGGATGTTCTATCACTGAACTACATTCCCAGCCCCTTTATTTTTTATGTTGAGACAAGATTTGCTCAGTTACCCTGACTGGCCTCAAACTTACAATCCTATATCTGCCTCCCCATTCACCACACCTGGCTTTATTTTTCAAAACATGCTGTCATGACATTTGTGATTTTTGCTACACTTCTGGCATCTATGATTATGTGCAGATCATCCGTATCTGTCTCTTCTACCAGGAAAAGTCCCTGACGRCAAAGACGGGGTTTTCATCTTTGCTTCTACAAAGGCCATCGGCAAGGCAGTGGACACAGAGCAGACACTAGGCACATACTCTAGCCAGCAACTCCATTGATATTTCTTACAAGAGGGTATATGAATAGTCAATAAACAGTTGTCACTTCTGTCTTACCAGTTATTGGGGAAATGCAAAGTAAAACCCACAGCGGAATACCACCTAACATCCACAAGAACTGCCAGAGACTGACAGTACCAAGAGCAGTGAGGAAGCGGAACAACAGGAACAAGACCATGTACTGCTGATCCTAAAAGTATAAACTAAAGCACTCCAGAAATTGTGCCAGGCACAGTGGTACATGTCCTAATCCCAGTGGCTCAGGAGGCTGAGGCAGGACAGTCTTGAGATCAAAGCCAGCCTCAGCAATTAGTGAGGCCCTAAGCATCTTAACGAGACCCTGTCTCAAAATAAAAACTAAAAGGGCTGAAGATGTGGCTCAGTGGTTAAGCACCCCTGGGTTCAATCCCTGGTGTCAATAAAATAAAATAAACAGGCAACACCTGCTTAAACTGAACATACACAAACTTTATGTATGTGCACCAAACAAAAGACTTGTATAAAGCAACAATAATGAATGACCCAGTGACATACATGGACGAACCTCACAAGTAAAATGTTGACTGGAAGAAGTCAAAACATAAAATGACAAATGCATGCTCTGCTTCCATTTATACCAAATTCAAAACCAAGGAAAAAACTATTTGTGGTACTAAAAATATTCAGGAAGGAAAAGAGGAAAGAGTACAGTGATGCGAAGTGCAAACCAGGGGACGCTAGGTGTTAAAAATGTCTATTACCTGACCAGCGGATGGGTGGTCATGATTTGTGTTTCTCTGTATATTACACTACAATTTCAAAAGCCATTTAAAAAATAAGATTATATGACAAAGAATGTTATACAAGATATAATAGGTAAGACACTTGGAAAGGAAAAGCACACATACTGCCTCTTTATTATGAAAAAGAGCCCCCAATCCTGGCACTCTGCCAGCCCTGTACTGCAAGACAACACGTTGGGTCAGTGACACATTACATAAATGATGGAGCCGAAGAACTCCCACACCTATTAAGACTAGCATGACGCAGGGATTTCTGGTGATGCTGGTATGAACCTGCTACACTGCCAGGTGTAGTGGCACTCACTCGCCTGTACTCCCAGGAGGCTGGGGCAGGAGGATCACAAGTTCAAGGTCAGCCTCAGCAACTCAGTGAGACCCTTGTCTCCAAATTAAAAAGTAAAGAGGACTGAGGATGCAGCTCAGTGGCAAAATGCCCTTGGGCTCAATCCAGCATTCCTACTACCACTACCAAAAAGAAAAGCTTAACCCACATAATTATGTACAGCATCCAATTCTCTGTGTCTGTTTTTTTTTCTCTTTCCTTTTCTCTTTCTTTCCATGGTATTGAGGATTGAACCCAGGCCTGGAGCACACCAGGCAAGCTACTCTACCACTGACACATTCGCTCAGCCCTTTTTATTTTTTTGAAATAGGGTCTTGCTAAACTGCCCAGGCTAGTCTCATGATCCTCCTGCCTTAGCCTCCTAAATAGTAGGATTTACAAGCATGCGCCACCATGCCAAGCCAGGATCTAATGCTTGATAAGGATAATAAAATAAAAGACTATGCTCCTGATGTATATATTTATTTAGAGTGTATTCCTACTTACGTATACAAGAAGGTTTACTATAAAACTGTGCCTGCTACATCTGCAGCAGACTCATCCATCTCATGTTTACTGAGTTCCTTGGTCGTACCAAGAGGCTACACTGAGTGGCTGACCTATACCAACTAGGTCAGGTAAGTGTACTAACTCTATGGCGCTCACTCAATGATGAAAAAAATCACTAATGATACATTTCTTGTTAAGTGACATTGATTGTACCTGCACATACAGTAAGAATGTTAAATAGCAGCAAGCCATGGAGCAGAGACCAGGAGAGCCAGGATAATGGAATTTTGCTTTCAGTTTCTATTTTCACATGAAAGTTATCAATGCTTAAATATTCTTTTGAAACCAAGAAAGGCATACATTTCAACAAATAAGAATAATATACAGTAATGAGTAAACTCCTACTGGGCACAACAGCACATAGCCTGTAACTCCTGGCTACTTGTGAGGCTGAGGCAGGAGAATCTGTAACTTTGAGGCCAGCCCCAGCAACTTAGCAAGATCCTGTCTCCAAGAATTAAATAAATAATAATTTCCCTATTGTCTTGATACTTATTGTCAGTTTCTGCTAAACTGCCGGTTGTATGAAAGTATGACACAAGGACATACGGACAATACCTACCCAGTCACGTTACCAGATTAAAGATGAGAAGGCAAGAAAGCATCGTGGAATCACACACATACCCAGCCGCCCAAGGAAGAGGGCGCTGCATGGAGTTCTTCTGAACCTTGCTTTTTATAAATTTTTGGTAAGGATGCAAACAGGAACAGAATCATATAGTGCTAGTTCTGAAAGTGTAAACTGAAAGTAAAGGTATTCTTCTAAAAGTGTTAGCTGCCCTACTGAAGAGGGAGCTTTCTGCGAGCACCGCTGCTGGTCCGTGGGCAGCACCTCTAGCACCGACCATTTCTGGCCCCGCGAGGAGGAGCCCACTTACACTTCCAGCAGCAATGCACAAAAAGCCTGTTTCCGCTAATATTTCTGTGGTTTCTATTTTATATTTAAAACTTTATTTCATTTGGAATAGATTTCTCTAATATAGAAAAAACTCTTGAAAATGAGCAAAGACCAGCAGCCCTTCAAAAAAAATGGGCAAAAGTTATGAACTAATGATAATGGAATGAGAATAAAAAAAATCATTCAAGGGCTGGGGATGTGGCTCAAGTGGTAGTGSGCTTGCCTGGCATGCATCCAGCCCGGGTTCGATCCTCAGCACCACATACAAAGATATTGTGCCCGCCGAAAACTAAAAAAATAAAGATCAAAAAAAAAAAAATTCTGTCTCTCACTCTTTAAAAAAAAAAAATCATTCAACATACTAAAAGAAGCCCATGTTCACTCATGAGACAAAAATCAGATACTGCTCTTCACCTGTCCTATAGATGAAAACCCCAAACTGTGAGAACCAACTTTGTTGGCCAGAATGTAGACAAATGCTCCCCTGTTCCTCACCATGCACCATGGCCACAGGGTGCTGAACAGTACACAATGATCAACCAAGAAATTAATCATGACCCAACATTTTTTTGTGCAAGAATACATAAAAATATAAAACCAAAGTAATTTTATGTAAAAAACCCTACCATCTTAAATGTGAATTTGAAATGTCATTATGAACTAATGATTCTGATTCTTCTTTTTGGAGGATCTGTATCTCTGCTAGAACCTAGACTAAGTTCTAATAGAATTTCCACTGGAAGAAACCAAAACTATTTGAAGAAACAGCCAACTTTAGTCTGAGCTGGAAATGTACAAAGATTTTTGGGAGAGATCAAAAGCAATAAGACTATTTATCTGGGGCTGGGGATGTGGCTCAAGCGGTAGCGCGCTCGCTTGGCATGCGTGCGGCCCGGGTTCGATCCTCAGCACCACATACCAACAAAGATGTTGTGTCCGCCAAAAAATAAATAAAAAATTCTCTCTCTCTCTCTCTCCTCTCTCACTCTCTCTTAAAAAAAAAAAAAAAAAAGAAAAGAAAATTTAAATGAATCAGACCAGCAACACCAAAACCAGCGGTCAATATTCACATTCCTGAAGTGGGAAACCAGATGTCGTCTGCCTGCTGAGATGAGAATGTGTCAGGAAACACAGTACCACTACGCAGTACCTGCTCAAATAATGGTGCTTCAATCTAATCAAGCTCTAGGATCCAACTACTCACAAGGAATGAGAGAATATATGTTTTGAAACAACATTATAATGACGTAAACTGAATCCAGAATGTAGGAAATTCTGCAAAAGGGATCCATTAAAAAAAAAAAAAAAAGACATGAAAAAGGGGATATGAGAGTATTATAGAATAAAGACAAACGTTCAGTAACAAAGGTGACAAGCTCAGTTAAGGCTCCTTATCCAAAAAAACGCTGGTAACTACTGAAGCTACAGTGGAGTTTCCTGTAGCTATTTATATTGGAAAATTTTTATATAATAAAAATAATTTAAAAATAGGAATAAGTATGTAATTAATAGGGCCACTGTGGTGACTAAGCTAGGAAATGCATGTATCCGGCTTAGCATTGAGCCCCACACAAAACAGGTGCTCAAGGGAAAGGTTACAGTGGTGCCATTTTCGCTCCCATGACCACTCACTGAAACTCAAGTGCTGTATATTTTCTCTCATACATGGATTCCAGAGAGGAGAAAACAAAGGGTGGGAAGTGTCTCATGAAAACAGAAAGGAGACCAACAGAGGAAAGGACAGGGGGCAGGAGAAGGGGAGGGGAAGGGGTACTGGGAAATAAAACTGACCCAAGTAGACTGTTATATTGTATGTATATATGAATACATGACAATGAATCCTGGAACAAGATGGGGATGGCCTCTTCACCACTTCTATTCAACATGGTCCCTGAAATCTAGCCAGAGCAATTAGACAGACAAAAGAAATTAAAGGCTCGGCCTCATCTTTCACTGATATTGCTATAAAGGCCTCAGGACTGATGAACATGTCTCAAAATCTCTCCCCTCAATAACCTTTTTTTGCCACACTTTTTTTTTTTTAAAGCAGTTCCCATCTATAATACCCACCATGGACACACTGCTGAAGGGGTGCTTTAATAATCCCTCAAAGATGAGGAAGAGTTCATATGATTCACCTGCCCTTTAGCTATTAAGTGTCAGAGCCAAGATTTCAGCCCCAGCTTGGCTGGCAGCAGAGTGTTTTTTTTTTTTTCCTTGCACGACATAATCCCCTTTCTCAACAACAATCAACCAGTTTTGCTTAAAGCTTACTCTAAATATTACATGCCTATAGGATAAATCTCTTCTATGGTCCAATGCAACCCAGACAACCAAGCTTTGGATCAAATTAATACTACTGACCTGTTCAGCCATCTTACATTTATTTGCAATAATAGCTCTATTTCTACCCTGTTTACTTCTTACTTTCTATTCCATTCCACTGGTCTACAGTTTATTATTTAAGGCTTTGAATCTCTGTTAGCTTAGAGATAATCCCAATGTTGGTAATCATTTTCATTAAGTGACGCCAGGACCCCCACCCCACCCCTTCCCCCGCAGCCCCAGCAGCACAGAGCCACCACTGTACCTGTGAGATGCCACGGGTGGAACTATAGGAACTGGTGATTGCATTGCGGCTGGAGCTAAGAATGCCACCTGTGCACGTGCTTGTCAGGGAGCTCACAGAAGAGGTGCGTGATCGCTTGTTCAAGTGGTCATCTGAGCTTTGGGAAGTGAGACCTCTCTTCAGAGACCCAGGTCTAAGGGAAAAGGGAAAAGGTTAGATGTACTACTGAAGGCAGCATCCTTCCAAGGGTCCATCTGTGGTTATAACACCTTTCTACATACAGATGGAAGGAAGAGGACAGTGCTCTTAATTGGCACTGCTCACAATTTGGCTAAATATATCTGAGAAAGTCAGTAGAGAAAGCCAAACATTCAAAACTCAAATGTGCRATTCCATTTATATAATATTCCAGAAAATGCACACTTATCTATTGAGACAGAGCCGTGACAGCTGGAGCAGGGTGGGCTTGATTACAAGAGAAGCACGAAGGAGTCTGGGGGTGATGAATGTGTTCATTTCCTTCATCAGAATGGTGTGACAGGGGCATATGTGGCAAAACTTGGCATATTTTATACTTCAAACAGGTACAGTGCATTATATGTCAATTATACCTCGATAAAGCTGCTAAAAGAAAGAGTTAAGAGGAACCAACTATTGTTTCTAAACCTACAACCAAAACAGACATTCCCCACATATCCTTCCTGCTACAATACAGACAACAACCTCCCAGAGTGATTTGTGCCAGCCATGAGCCGTACATTCTACACTTCATTATTAGGAAGTCTTCCCCTAAGCTCTTACCCACAGATCTTACCTGCAGCCAGATGGAGCCTTGACAGTTCTTTACCTTTTGGAGGACCACTCTGCTTCCTTTCCTTACTTCCCAATACTTCCCCTGAGGTCAATCTCCTCTGGGCTAGTACTTCTGTATCCTCAAAACTCCCTCMCCTATCACCACCACCCCTTCTGGCGTTTCCAAATCCCCTGAACATTCCCAACAGCCCAATTATGGGACCAGCCCAGGTGTCTGCCAAAGACTCAATGAACAAAGAAAACGTGGTATACATACATACATACATACAGACTTTCATTCAGACATAAAGAAAAATTAAATTATGTCTTCTGCTGGTGTGTGGAAAGAACTAGAGAACATGCTCAGTGAAATAAACCAGACTTGGAAAGTCAAGTGCTGTGTTTTCTCTCACACGTGGAAGCCAGAGAGGAAAAAACAAAGGGTGGAAAGTGTCTCATGAAAACAGAAGGGAGACCAACAGAGGAAAGGACAGGGGGCAGGAGAAGGGGAGGTACTGGGAAGTAAAACTGACCCAAGCAGACTGTTATATTGTGAATACGTATGAATATGTGACAATGAATCCTGGAACAAGACCGGGATGCCCTCTTTCACCACTTTTATTCAACATGTCCCTGAAACTCTAGCCAGAGCAATTAGAAAGACAAAAGAAATTAAAGGRATATGAAATTAAAGGAAAAGAACTCAAACTATCATTATTTGCTGACAACATGATTCTATACTTAGAGGACCCAAAAACTCCACCAGAAAATTTCTAGAATTAATAAAGGAATTCAGCAAAGTAGCAGGATATAAAATCAATACCCATAAATCAAACGTATTTCTACACATCAGTGATGTAAGAAATTTTCTCTGAAAGAAATTAGGAAAACTACCCCATTTACAATAGCATCCAAAAAAATAAAGAAATACAACACTTGGACATCAACTTAATTAATATTGTCATAATGGCCATACTACCCAAAGCACTATACAGATTCAATGCGATTCCAATTAAAATCCCATTGTCGGTTCTTATAGAAGTAGAAAAAGCAAACATGAAATTCATTTGGAAAAATAAGAGACCCGGAATAACCAAAGCAACCCTTAGCAAGAAGAGTGAAGCAGGAGGCAGCATAACATCAGACCTTAAACTATACTACTGAGCTATAGTAACAAAAATGACATGGTATTGGAACCAAGCAAACACGTAGACCAATGGTACAGAATAGACAACACAGACACAAACCTACATGAATACGGTTATCTCATACTAGACAAAGACACCAAAAACATACACTGGAGAAAAGATAGCCTCTTCAACAAATGGTGCTGGGAGAACTGGAAATCCATATTCAGCAAAATGAAAATAAACCCCTCTCACCTGCACAAACTCAAAAGTAGAATAAGGACCTAGGAATTACACCAGTCACCCTGCGCCTAACAGTAAGAAAAAGGAGGCCCAATCCTCATCATGTCGGATTGGGCCCCAACTTCCTTAACAAGACTTCTGAAAGCCTAAGAAATAAAATAAAGAATTTATAAATGGGATGGACACAAACTAAAAAGCTTCATCTCAGCAAAAGAAACAAATGAGGTAAAGAGAGAGCCTACATTTTGGGAACAAATTTTTGCCACACGCCCATCAGGATATATAAAGAACTCAAAAAACTTAACACTGGCAGCTGGGGTGTAGCTCAGCAGTAGAGCGCTTGACTCCCAAGAGTGAGGCACTGGGTTCAATCCGCAGCACCACATAAGAGTATATAAACAAACTAAAGTTACTGCGTCGGTGTATGAAAAAAAAAAATCCATTAAAAACTTAACACCAAAAAAACAAACAACCCAATCAATAATGGGCTAAGGAGCTAAAAAGACCCTCCTCAGAAGATATACATTTGATGAACAAATAAATGTACCTACCACATGTAAATAAATAAAACAAACATATAGTGTCCAACTACAACTAAAAAATAAATATTAAAAAAAAAAAGAAGAAGAATACAGACAACAATAAATGTTGGTGAAGATGTGGGGGAAAAGGCACACTCATACATTGCTGGTGGGACTGCAAATTAGTGAACCCAATCTGGAAGGCAGTATGGAGACTCCTTAGAAAACTTGGGAATGAAACCACCATGTGACCCAGCTATCCCACTCCTCGATCTATATCTGAAGGACTTAAAATCAGCATACTATAGTAACACAGCCACATCAATGTTCATAGCACCTCATTTCACAATAGCTAAACTATGAAAGCAATATAGATGCCCTTCAATAGATGAATGAATAAAGAAACTGTGGCATGTATTCACAATGGAATATTACCCAGCATTAAAAGAGAACAAACTATGGCATTTTCAGGTAAATGGATGAAGCTGGAGAATATCATGCTAAGTGAAGTAAGCCAATCCCTAAAAACCAAGGGCAGAATGTTCTGATAAGTGGATGCTGATCCATGATTGGGGGAGGGGGGCATGGGAAAAATGGAGAAATTTTGATGGGGCAAAGGGGAGGAAGGAGTGGGGGAGGGGTATAGGAACAGGAAAGATGGTGGAATGAGATGGATATCATTACCCTTGATACTTGCATGACTGCACATATGGTGTGACGCCACATCATGTACAACCATAGAAATGAAAAGGTGTGCTGCAGTTGTGTACAGTGAATCAAAATGCATTCTGCTGTCACATATATCTAATTAAAATAAATCTTTTAAAAATTAAACATTAAAAAAACCCAACAATGAATCCCAGTTATGTATGCTTATAATGCACAATGAAAAGGAAAAACAAAACAAAACCCCCAAAACAACAAATCCCCTTAATCTCTTGGTTGCTTGACTAGAATTAATCTCAGTTTGCATACATCCTTTCTTGTATGTTGAACTGAACATGAGGTTCTGACAGCCGAAGCATAACTATGGAAAGCAGGACTAACCACACTTCCCAGCTTCATTCTAATCATCTTCTAACAGCAGAGAAGGATCACATTAGCTTTTCTGACAGCCACATCACGTAGTTATGTGTAAGTTATCCTAAGCCTTTCCACACATATTTCTGATTCCCCCCCCTCCATTTTGTTTCCCCTCCAATGCTTTTTTTTTTCTTTTGGTACATTTATAGGGGATTGCAYCCAGGGATGCTTAATTACTGAGCTACACCCCTAGCCCCACACCATTTTTTTTTTTTTACTCAGCCAGGGTTCTCACTAAGTTGCTGAGGCTGCCCTCAAATTTGTGATTCTCCTGCCTGAGCCTCTAGAGTAGCTGGGATTCCTGGAGTGTGACACCATGTTCACTTCTCCAATGTATTTTCAAACTCAAATGCAGAAACTTATTGCATTTAGTCTATTTAAACAAGCCTTGTGATCCTTCTGTTTACATACCTGGTCATCATATACACTTACAAGCCCTTTAACTTTAGCAGTTTATTCATATTAATGTAAAAGTATGAAAAGAAATTGGACAGAAGACAGTTAATGTGGCAGGTTCCTCAAAATGTTCCTTCCTGATTTCAAAATGTGAACCTGAACTACTTAGCAAATCAAAAAGCAAAGAGAAATCTTTAGGGCAACAGATATGATAATGCCCTTTTCCTTAACAGCTGATATTTCATCCAGATGAACTCTCACTTACTTCGGTACAAAAGAAGCAGGGACTCCATTGGCCACCAGGGGCTCAAATGCTGAATGTCCACTCCCACTGCTATCATGGCGCCTACAATAAACCAAAAAATTCTCAGTGAAATAACATGATCCCCCCCTACCCATGGCATCTACAATAAACAAAAAAATTCTCAGTGAAATAACATGGCCCCACCCACCCAAAGCATATTTTCAGACACCTGGGATTATATACTACCTCTGTGGAACATAGATTACATTCTAGAAAAGGAAAAAGTTGTTTTAAACCTCTAAGTCTTTGAAAGGTAAATTTAATCTGAGATAGCCCTGGTAATGAAGGATAGCATGAAAATACTTTAAGACCTTTTGAACTACACAGGTGTTTCAATTTCTTACTTGCTAACTTGACACTGAAGTATTATGATCATAAATTTAAAACCCAACACCCACAAATTTGAAAAAATAAAAACAAAAACCGCAAGTGTGTTGAGGACCAATCCACACACCTCACAGTGCTCTRGAGGTTAACATGCCAAAACGGTTAGGTAAAAATCTACACATCACATATAAGAGCATGTAAATGACACGTGATCACTGCTTATTTCAATCATGGGAAAGATAAGACTGAATCTTTAGTTGTACATGCACCACAGCCAAGAAAAATCTTCATCCTGGAGAACATGAGACACCTACCTGGACCATAAAAATTATTTCCTCCCTGCCCTCTGCCATTCTTAATTTTGCAGTAATGAYTGAACTCATATTTAGTTTACTACTGAGCCACATTCCCAGCCCCCTTTTTAAGTTTTTATTTTGAAACAAGGTCTTTGCTAAGTTGCCCAGGCTGGCCTTGAACTTGTGATCCCCTTGCTTTAGTCTCTTGAAGTCACTTGCATTATAGGCAAGTGCCACTGCCCTACTCATACTCTGCCATTTCTACTTAGCTAGATGATATCAGCACAAACTGCTCATTTATCACAACTGAAATTCTATGTCTGGGTCATCATCACCTGATTTTCCTATATTCTTAATTCATATACATAAATTAAGATTTCCTTTACTTAATTTTGTCTTCTACAGTACCATGGACAGCCAACTTTAAAACTGCTGGGTATAAACAATCCAGTCAAGGTAATGGGGACAAAAGTCATGTTCTTCAGGTGTGGGGTTCACTCTCTCCTCTGAGCTCTTCCCTGACCACTAGATATGAAGAAGCCCCATTCTTGTTACCTTTATCTCCCTGTTTTTTTTTTTAATCCCCATATACTTATAATCCATGATTACACTGTTCATTTTGACATTTTTAAAAATTGCCTATCTTGGGCTGGGGCTGTAGCTCAGTGGCAGAGTGCTTGCCTTGCATGTGGGAGGCACTAAATTTGATCCTCAGCACCACATAAAAGCAAAACTAATAAAATAAAGACATACTGCCCATCTACAACTACAAAACAAGTAAACAAACAAATAAATAAAAACTGCCTATCTCTCTCAAAAAATGTCCMATGAGGGCTGGGATTCTGTCTCGTTTATTGTCCACAGATCCTGGAACAGGGTCTGGCATTACAATGGGTGCTCAGTAAATATTTGCTAAATTGCAAAAATAAGTGGAGAGCCCCTGGGTTCAATCCCCAGCACACACACACAAAAAGTAAATAAACAAACAAACAAATAAATAAATAAATAAAATAATCCTCAGGTGACTCCTTGGTAAGCATAAATAGTCCTATATCCCAAAGAACCACTTAACTACCTCTCCTCTCACTGTACTTAGGAAGTTTTTAACTCCATATTTATTGAGTAATCATATAAACAAAATAAGGAAATTGGTTTCATCTTTATACAAACAGACCATACTCTAGTTCATTTTTGACAAGCACTTCCTGAGTAGTTATGATTTTGAACCCAAGTTATTGAACATAAAATTGAGAAGACTTGAGAATTCTCTTCCCAAAATAATATTTAACATATTTATATCAGAAGTAGGATCCCAACATGGATAATCTACGGAAAGGAAAAAAACTATAAAAATTATCTAATCTGTCTTTACAAACTGAATAACATTAATGTCCTTATTACCAGGACATGAGAGAAGGGGACTTTAAAGACTCACAAACTGAAGCTGGCCCTTTATAAGAATGACCTAGATTTCACTGAACACCCAGGATCTGCACAGGAGCCCATTGAGCATCTGCGGGGCCTGCTACCTTCTTTTATTCTCTTGGCCATCAACAAACACTTGGTCTTCTTCCTCCACAATCCTTTTCTTCCTCTCTTTGAGGGCGTTCAGCACGGTCTCCTTTGCACATGGGTCTGGGACACTACTCGATGGTGAGGGCAGTGCTGAGTTGATTAACCGTTCTGGTCTGTAACAAAAGACAAGATTATAGCAGCTGTAAGATATTTTAATTGCTATACCACACAGCATTAGACCCAAGCCCCTGGAAACCATAATCTAACCAACTGGCAAAAGTATCATTTATATATTCACAGAACCTGTCCTGAGCAATGAAAGCTAGCCCAGGGACAAAAAATAAACGAAGGTTTTTATTAGAACTTGGGATTTCTCATTTAAATAAGCAGTCATTTCTTTTCCTTTCTTCTTCATTTTAATAATTGTTTTGTCAGAGAAACAACTATAGAAGTAAAAAGCAGGCATAAAGGGAGAGCACTCTTCCAATAATACTCACGCTGGAGAACGAGTTAGCTTGCTATCTGGAGGGGCAATCCTCACAGTTACTGGGCTACACACCATCTTTGAGTTCCGAGAAGAGAGCACAGCCTTCTTGTGACAACCATTCCAGCACACTGTGGGCAGTACCCCCAGCAAGGAATATTGGGCCTGCTGGATCGGATAGCGTCTTCGAGGGGTTATCACAAACCGACCGGGTAAAGTCCCACAATCCCTATGAAGAATGAGAGACACACCATAGAACCAGAGAAACTTAAAAGAACATCAGACATTTTCCAGAGAGTTTATATCTCTTTCCAAGCAATACTGAACACAGTATTTTTATGGCAAATTTCCATCTGTGGGCAGAAAGTGGCAGCTGTTCAACAGCTGTCTCTATCACAGACTTCAACAATTTTAGAGTGAAATTGAAAACCTTGCCTACACATGTACACTATGCTACTGGGTTGCACTGGGAGAAATTTTTCAGTATTCTTTGGATCAGTTTATGCTAATCAGAAAAATGCACATTAGTTCATTTTCTCAACTAAATATATTTATCAAAACTCTAAAAATTTAACACTTTCACTATGTTTTTTAATCAGGTTTTATCATCGAGGCATTTCCTGAGCCTGGTATCATTTCTCTGGTCCAGACAAAACAGCCAAACATTCCGGTGACTAAACGCAAAGAAGTATTTTGGCTCTTTGCGGAGACTCGCGTTCTCCCAGGCCCACAGGCACTACCGTCCAGCAGCCTAGGAACTGGGAGGGGAGGAGTGTTAAGACCGCGGTTAACCGAGGCAGAGGCGGGCAGGAGACTTACACCAAATTAGGCAGGGGTCAGGGTCGACRCTCCGCGCAGTGCTCTTACCTGTATGCCGGCCTCCCGGAGGGCCGCAGGAGAGGGGTGGGGGGAGACGGGTGAGCATACGGGGCGCGCTGGGCCGCGGGCGGCGAGGAGCGGGCGGGCAGGCGGCGGCCGGGCCGCGCCCGCGGGTCCCCGCCCTCCTGCGCGGCGGCAGGCTGCGGCGGGCCGGGTTTGCCCAGGTAGCTGCCCATGAGCAGCAGTTCGGCGGGGTCGGGTCCTTCGAGCAGGGTCCGAGGCTCTAGGAGGCTTCCGTTTACTGCCGACTTGGCCGGGGGCGAGGCGAGCAGCGCTCGCTGCCTCCGCGCGCTGCGAGGGAACGACGGCAAGGCGCGCGGGCCTCGGGGCTCGCGGCTCAGTCCCCACCAGGCCGCGGTAGCCCCCACGGCCAGCCAGGCCAGCGCCGCCGCCGCGGGCACCAGGTACAGCACGAGGCCGAGTAGCACGAGGCCGAGCAGCGCTGCGCCCGCCGGCCCGCCGCGGGCCCGGCCCCGGCTGTCCCGGGCGCTCGCTATGGGGGGCCGCCGCCGCTCGCCTCCTCCAGCCGCTGCAGCCGCCGGAGACATCGCGGCTCCGCGCCGCGGAGAAGACTTAAATATCCCAGCGTGCACTGGGCCAGGCGCCGCGTCGCCGCGCGCCGTGTGCGTCACTCGCGCGCGACTCGGCGCGGCAGCGCGAGAGGGAGCCCACTCGCTCTGCACCGCCAAGACTGGACAGCCTTCGGAGAATGGCGCCTGCCTGCCCAAGGCACTCTTAACCGTGCTTGACCGGCCTCCAGCCAAGCCCGTTAGCAGACACCTGTCGCCACCGCTCCCCGCTGCTGAATGCCCGAGCACCCCGTTCACACGCAACTCCAGGGGCACCTTCCACGGCAGGGTGAATCGCGGGGCCGAACCAGCCACCCTTATGAAACAGGGACCGAACGGGAAGCTGCGGCGTCAGGCCCCGAATTTGCATTTCTATGTGTGGCTAATGTGGGACCCCAACTGCACGTGGGGTCCAGATTCAGGGGTCGATTTTGAGGACCTGGTGGTCAACTTAATGTTAAGTTTGTTAGGCTGAGCAAAACTGGTAGTGCCCAAGGCCGCGGGGTGGAGTGGAGGGGGCCGCTGAGGGCCACGGGCTTGGGGAGGTGGTTAAAGTCGCATGGAATGTGAGTTACATCTTTTTGGATTTTACTTTGTTAACTTCTGACTCATTTAAAACTTATTTAAAACTCCACGTTTTAAAAATTGCTGCTGAATTACGTGTTAAAAACTTTTACCCGGATAGTCAGCCCGGCCAGACTGGCTTAGCTCAGCTTCTTCAGCCTTCATTCTTTAACTCATTCTTTTGTTCTGCTAAATGCTAACAGTGCCTCAGAAAGCTTCCAGCGACGAAAAGTGGTTTCGGGAAAGAATGTGGTGAGGAGGGAAAGGCAGGGGGAGCTGGCCAGTCCCCTCCAGTGCTTTGATCAGGATGAATGACCTTGGTTGTGAAGTAAAGGAACTTGGCGCGGCCCTCCCCTGCATCCTGGCCCTTGGCCACSGAGGAGTAAGCAATAAAATGTCCAAAACCTCTCTGTTGAGTCCTCTAAGTTCTTCCTTTGGGATCTGTAAACAGATCCTTCCTTTGGGGCCTTTGCAGTCCTGGGGCTGAACTGTCATTTTACGGAAGAGATTAAGGAGAGGCTGGGGATACAGCTCAGTTGGTAGAGTGCTTGCCTTGCATGCACAAGGCCCTGGGTTCAATCCCCAGAACCACCGGGGGAAAAAAAAAAGATTTAAGGAGAAGCTGGGTGTGGTGGCCCACGCCTGTAATCCCAGCAGTGGCTTGGGCCACCACACCCGGCTTCTCCTTAATCTTTTTTTTTTTTTTTCCACACCTGTAATACCAGTGGCTCTGGAGGCTGAGAGAATTCAAAGCCAGCCCCAGCAAAATTGAGGAACTAAGCAACTCAGTGAGACGCTAAATAAAATACAAAATAGAGCTGGTGGGCTGGGGTTGTGGCTCAGCGGTAGAGCGCTGGCCTAGCACATATGAGGCCCTGGGTTCGAGCCTTAGCACCTCATTAAAATAAACATTGTATCCAACTTCTACTAAAAAATATTAAAAAAAAAAATAGGCTGAGGATGTGGCTCAGTGGGTCTAGTGCCCTGAGTTCAATCCCCAGTACCCACCCCCAAAAAAAAGATTAAGGAGAAAAAGGGTCCCTGATCAGTATAAATTCTCAGTTTAGTAGGGAAGAAAGCTGTGTAAATAGAAATTTACATTTCAGTGTTGATAAATATGATATTCGCTTAAAAAGAAAAGTAATGATAAAGGGGAATGTAGTCGGGGAGGTGCCTCTTTAGTTGAGCGCATCTCAAAGGCAGATGAAGAAGCACTGTGCAGAAGCACGGAGATGGACTGAGGGTGCAGGAGTCCCCAAAATAGAAAATAAATGTTGGAGCGCCCTGGGTTCAGTCCCCCGCCCTGCAAAAACCAGAATGGACTTCTGGACATTCCAGTGTGGCCGAGGATTAGATATCAGCTTCCTGGGAGCAATAGGCAGGCAGTGCAAAATAAAGAATGGAGGCAGTGACTGCAGATTCCCCACCCAAGAAACCTGAATAAGGGAAGAAGACAATCTCTAGCTCAGCAAGGGTCCTTCAAATTATCATATATGATGAAGTCATCAGTGTACTGGATGTCATAAATTGAAAGATTACTGGGAATTAACATAAACAGAAAGGTCTAAGTCCTGATCCCTGGGGTATCTTTGTGTTTAGAGGTTAAAGTGATGGACACATAAAAAGTACAAATCATTCAGTAAAATGTAGATAAATTAAAAGAATAGTTAGGCATAGTGGCATACACCTATAATCCCAGTGACTGGGGAGACTGAGGCAGGAGGACTGCATGTTTGAGACCAGCCTTAGCAACTAAGGGAGACCTGGTCTCAAAAATAAATAAATAGGGCTGGGGAAGTATCTYAGAGGAGAGCACTGTTGGGTTCCATCCTTAGTACCAAATGAAGTAAAAACAAAACAACTTGACAGAGCCCATCACTCAGAACTACACTGCCAGGAGTTTTAAAGGTTGCCTGTTAGACCAAATGGAGGTAATGGGAGATGGAAATTTGAAACTACAGAAAGGATGAAGACCATCCAAGTAAAYATGAGGGTAAGCAGAAAAAAAAAATTGTTTCCTCATGATTTATATAAAGAACTTATWTTTTAAACCAGAATAATGTGATGTGAAGTTTATAACAAATATAGAAGTAAAAGATGTAACAAATGCCACCAAAGCTCAGGTGTGAGAAAGATACATGGACTTACTATTGAAAGGTTACTACATTTGCAAGGTGGAAGCAGGAAGTGGGGCATCTGCAGTGCTAGGTGGGGCAGGAGAAGGGGTATAGTGAAACAGGAAAGTGATGGGAAGATGTTCAACAGCGACCAAGTCCTGGGTCGTCAAACAAGCTTGAATAACTGTTAATGTACTGAAATAATGATATAGAAAAAGAACAAGGTTGGGGGCTGGGGATGTGGCTCAAGTGGTAGCGCGCTCGCCTGGCATGTGTGCGGCCCGGGTTCGATCCTCAGCACCACATACCAACAAAGATGTTGTGTCCGCTGAGAACTAAAAAATAAATATTAAAAAAAAAGAAAAAGAACAAGGTTGGACAACTCACATTTCCTTATTTCAAAACAAAGGAGGTTTTTTCCTCCCCTCAGGGGCACTCATCCACTGAGCCACATCCCCAGCCCTATTTTGTATTTTATTTAGGGACAGGGTCTGAGTTGCTTAGTGCCTTGCTGTTGCTAAGGCTGGCTTTGAACTCAGGATCCTCCTTGCCTCTGTCGCCCCAGCTGCTGGGATTACAGGCATGTGCCATTGCACCCAGCTCAAAACAAARCTTTAACAACTGGAACAATATAGTACAAGCATAAAGACAGATATATAGACCTACAGAGCTGGGGATATAGCTCAGTTAGTAGAGCATTTGCCTGGCATTCACAAGGGCCTGGATTCAATCCCCAGCAAAACACACACATTCACACACACACAAAAGATACAGAGACCTATGAAAAAGAATTGCATATCCAGGAATAAACCCATTCATTTATGGCTTAGCACAAGGTGCCACATCATTCAATCTAAGAGTATGAATCTCTTAACAAATAGCACTTAAGGGTCAAAATTGTTAAAATGGAAAAATTTGTGTTATTCATATTTTTTCACAGTAGAAATTATGAAAAAAGATAATTGTCTAATAAAATAATACCTATGCTTCAACATCATAAATGCCTTGTATGAAAAGTCTATACTCAAAACATACTCATAAGTGAAAGATTGCAAGTTTGTCCTCTAAGATCAGGAACAAGGCAGCTGTGCCCTATCTCCTTAGATTCAGTGTGGTTTCCAAAGTCCTACCCAGAGCAATTAGGCAAGAAAAAATTTTAAAGGGCATTCAAATTGGAAAGAAAGTAAATTATTTCTATTTGTAGATGACATGACCTTACTAAATATTTAGGGAATTTATAAACAAATTTTTTAAAGTTGTAGGATTCAAAATCAACATGCAAAAACTAGTTGCATTTATACACATGAATAGTGAATAATCCAAAAAGGAAAGTAAGGAAACTGCCTATGTACAATAGCAGCTAAAAGAATAACAAGAACACTATGAAATAAGGAGGCCAAAGAGTTAAACACTGAAAACTAGAAAACATTGCTGAAACAAATTGTAAAAGTCACATAAACGGAAAGATACTTTGTGTTCATGGATTGGGGGACTTGATATTAAGATGATAATACTACAAAGTGACTTACAGATTCAACACAATCCCCATCAAACTCCCCAACCCCCACCCCTGAAATAGGAAAACCCATCCTAAAATATGCATGGATACAGAGTCAAAACTATTTTGAAAAAGAACAGAAGGCTCATTCTTTCAGATCTCAAATCATATAATCATGCTTCTATTTTTAAAATGGGGGGAAAACATGATCAAGCGAAGGTAATCAAAATAGTGTGGTAATGGCATAAAGATAGATATGCAGACCAATGAAACTTCAGAATAGACTCCAAACAAAACCCTTGTGTATACTGTCAAACGATTTCCAGCAAGAGACAAGAGTTTCAAGGCCACTCAGTGGGGGAAAAGGACAGTCTCTTCAAGAAATAATGTTGGGGAAACTGAATATCTACTGCAAAAGAATGAGCCCAAAAGAATGCCACATGTATAGAATTAACTCACAGTGGATTAAAGGTCTACATTTGAGTTCTAAAAGTATACAAATACAGGGGGAAATCTTCATGACATTTGACTTGGCAAAATTTTTTTTCATTATTTAGAGAATATTAGTTTCCATAATCAAACCCACATAGATAGGATCTTACATATTTAATACAGTGCATTATCCCCCCTTGTACAAGTGGAAAAATAATTTTTATATTTCCAGACCAATATGCTGTTAATTTCTGTACAATGCCAACTCAACACAGCAAACTAGGATATTTTTCCCAAAGGGTAAAGATTTCTTGAATGAGACACACCAAAAGCACAGGCAACAAAAATAAATAAATGGGATTACATCAAACTTAAAAACTTTTGTGTATCAAAGGACACCATAAACAACAGAGTGATAAGGGAACCCATAGGGTGGGGAAAAAGTTGCAAATCATGTATCTGGTAAGGTATAAACATCTAGAATTATTATAAAGAACTCCAAAAACTCAACAAAAAAATCAAATAATGAGCAAAGGACTTGAATAAACATTTGTCCAAGATGACACAGAACTAGTCAACAAGTATATGAAAAGATGGTCAATATCATTAATCATTAGAGAAACCATCTTATACCCATTAAGATCTATTATCAAAAAGCCAGAAAACAACAAGAGTTGGCAAGGTTGTAGGGAAACTGAAATCCTTGTGTATTGATGATGGAATTATGATATGGTATAACCACTAAGGAAAATATGATAGACTTTCCTCAAAAATTAAAAATAGAAAAACCTATGATCCAGCAAACCCACTTCTAAGTATATATCTGGAAGAACTGAAAGCAGGATTTTGAAGAAATATTGGTATGCCCATGTTTTTTTTTGTTTGTTTGTTTGGATTTTTTTTTTTTTTTTGGTATGCCCATGTTTATAGCAGCACTTCCACAATAGTGAGGAGGGGGAAGCAAGCCAATGCCATTCATGGATGGATGGATGGATGGACAAAATGCAGTGCTTTCCTACAATACAATACTATGCAACCTTCCTAGGGAAGGAGAGCCTGTCTCATGTTACAACATGGGTGAATCTTAAGGGCATTAAGCAAATTAAGACAGTCACAAAAAAGACAAATACTACATGATTTTACCCATAGGAAGTATCTATCCTAGTCAAATTCATAGAAATGGAAGCAGAATCGTGTCTAACAGTGGCTGCAGAGAGAGGAAAAGGGAAACTGTTGTTTAAAAGGTATAGAGCTTCAGTTCCCCAAGATGAAAAATTTTTGGAGATTGGTTGTACAAAAATGAGAATATCCTAATACCATTGAAATAAACATTTTAAAATAGTTAAAATGGCTGGGTA